ACCCTCTATAGTTAAATCTCATCAGCCAGTGTTTCCCCATGTTTCTCGCTCCTGCTGAATCAGTGCAGATTCAGAATAGGTTGGATGAGCCAAGCTGGCTACTGAGGGAGGAAGCAGGCATGTCCTGGTTACCACAGCTGCCCTCCCTGTTTAGGTCAGAGTGTAAACCTTAGAAGCAATCCTGTGGCAATGGTGTAAAAAACAGATTCAGCTCATGATAGTATGGCCTGAAAGTTTGTGTGCACAAATCAGTACAATGAAATCAAAATAATACAATATTGAAAAGGCTCATTTATTCTTACTGATAATTATTTAGTATAGGATTCTGACATAAAACCAGTAAAATAGACCATATGCCTGTACTCTCACTCAGTCTTGTGGAACGTAAAGCTAGGTCAAGCCAGTCTAGGCAAGAAAACATAGCAAGACCTTTCTTCAGAAACAAGCCACACATGGGGTTGCATGCCTGTAACCCATGTGTGTGGGAAGTGGAGGTAGGAGGATTGCAGGTTCAGGTGGGTCCCAGGCTACAGTGATGGAGGGTGTGGCTCAAGTGATTGAGCTCCTGCTAAGCAAGTGCAATTCCCCACCTAACACCCAGCATCACCAAACGAGTAAAATAGCATTTGGTGCTAAATTGCTCTTTAATTTGTCATCACTTTATAAAGCTATAACAGCACCAGTTTCAACAAGAAATACTTTCTTTAAAAAAGAAACTCACAATCTAGCACTTTTTATTAAAATTATTACTATTCCTATCATCATCTCATTACCCCACCTCCAGTTTTCTACTTACCTAAAACCTTTAAGAAAATGTGGGCCAAAGAGATGGAAGAAGAGGAAGTTATGTGATGTCAGTGCTGTTAAAACATTGAATAAAATGAGAGGTTGGGATTGTTGGAAAAGAATTGAGTTATGTCAGTAATCTTGTGTCCATCCCATAGACAAGGCATAGTTTCCAGTGCTGTTATTTAGCCATAATTTAAAGGAATGATATTTTAAAGGAACTCAGAATAGCTAAGTTCTACATTATCTACTTCTAATTCAGAACACTGGAATCTCTTTTAAAACTGAATTCTGATTTCCTTTTAGACGCTGATTAATTACTATTGTCAAGAGAAGTATTTCCATCATGTGTTAATGATTGCCAGTGAAGGAATGAAGCGGTATGGGACTGATCCAGTATTCAAGTTCTATCATGCCTATGCAACTCTGATGGAAGGTCTGAACTAATTGCTACGCATGTGCTATAGGGTCTGAACAATTGCTTTGCACTAAGAATAACATTCTTCATCTTAATTGATTTTTAGGTAAAACTCAAGAAGCTCTTCGGGAATTTGAGTCTATTAAAAATAAACAGGATGTCTCACTTTGTTCTCTACTGGCACTGATGTTCACTCATAAATTGAGTTCTAATCCAGGTATTATATTGAAGTACAACAGTTAGGGAAATTTTTCCTATCTACTTCCTTTGATTTTCTGAATACCTAGTCTTTCCATATTGTTTTATTTCCCATTGTACTACTTATTTGCACCATGCATGTTTTATCACCATGACCAAGTTATACATCTATCAAGCACAAGAAACGTGGGTCTTAAATTGTTTTTGTAAGTCTTGTAGTCAAAGGCAGAGGTTTTGCTAGTATAAGGATTTATTGAGTTAAAGACAAATATTTATTAGCAGGTATTATTTTTTAAGAGGACAGCTAAAAATAATTATATGCAAAGATTATGTATAGCAACCAACAGCAGTCATGCACAAAAATTAATACAGCAACTGTATATTTCATGTGCAAGCATATAGAAATATGTAGTATATATTTGCTATATATTAAGCTTCCTGAAGTCTTTAAGCTCTCCCCCCTGAAGGCTAGGACTTAGAAGATACTCAGTAAATTTTCATCCAGTAGTAAGTTAGAATAGATGAGTATAGGTTATAAAAAGAACCTAAATCATAAACCAGCAAGTTAACCTTGTGCTGAGTTGTCTTAGTACACTGTGTAGCTTAGGGCTAAGGTAGATCTTCTAAATTATAGGTCATAAAGAAGACATAGGGCCCATATATATATATCTCCAGGGTCCATATATATATATATTATATTATATATATATACCATATATATATCCAGTCACAGCTAGTAGTGTCAAAGTAAGATCCTTTTTCAAACAACTGGGCAACAACTGCCTACATGACTTAGAATTACCTCTTAAATATAAGTACTTTCTTTTTTCCTGGAGCTAAGTATCACTTACCTTTTTTATTCCAAATATGCTTAACACAAATTAATAAAAAAGTTATTTAATACAGTGTGTTAACAAATAAATGAATCCAACAATTATATGCTTATTTGGGGCACAGAACTGGTCAAATACATTTAGAACTCTAATATCTAATCCATGACATCAGATTTGTAATCTAATGGAGAAAAATGTTACAATGACAAACTTTGATTCTAATAGTACTATTATATAAGGCAATAGAAAACTAAATCGTTCATAGTTCATTAAAATTGGTATCAACTATTAATCCATTATAGTAATCTGAGAAAGGCCTGTGAAAGAAAATAATCTGGTCTTTGAAAAATAGGTAGAATTTGAACACAAAAAAATAGTCATTAGGAAAATAATGTGCAGGTGCATAATAGTAGTTAAACATTTGGTTCTTAGTGTAGATTCCCTTTGTCTTTGTTCCCATGGAAGTTTATTTAGCTGGAGCAAATAATTTGTATTGGGGAGCTAGAACTAATAAGCCTAAATCATAGCATTATTTCTAACAGTATTGGTTCAGTTGGGAGATGTGATTTCCAAAACACTAAAAAGATGGATATGTAGACTGTGTTTGGAGACACCTGAGTTCTGCTTTCTACCACGAATGATAGATTCGAGTGGACTTGAGTTTTAGAAGGGATCTAATGTTCTTGCTTTGGAATGCTAGTTTAAGCCTTGTTTATTTATGGAAAGACTTGAGCCAAGATCTGTCAGCAGCCAACTGTATGTGGATATGACACAAGGTGTCACTTCCTGATGCCCTACTAGGGATGACACAGACATGCAGGCCAAAGAACACAAAGGCTTATCCTGCCCTGATGAGTTCTAAATGAATATGTCTCAATGGTCTCAGGAATATTCGAGGTAAAAAGAAGGGAAAGAGGAACCTTGCTAAGAAAATCTGTAGGCCTTCAGAACCAGCTTTGTTTCCTTAATTCATGAGTTTGTATTTTAGTGATACCATGCTTAAATATATATGATAAGAGTAAAAAAATGAGTTAGACATCTCTTTCCTTGGTAGCTAGTTCCAAAAAGATAGAGCTGTTGTAATCACAGCCCTTGACATCTCTTTGCCTTCTTTTTGCATATCCTGTTCTCATTTGAATTCAGTCCAGAATCTGGGTATGGATGACATTTGTATCTTAAGCAGATACTCATTTATAGTAGGTTTAATAGGAATGAACATTTCTTGAAAGAAGAATGTGTATTTAAGGGGTCACTCAAGCAGTCAGTATTAACTAGCGTAAATAGCAGTAATTGTACAGGACTACGACTAATTTGACATGTTTCAGAATTGGACTTGAGAGTCAAGTAATTTGAGTTCTTGCTCTAATCATTTAGATTTATTAAAAAAATTTAGTCTAAGAATTAAAAACTGCTAGCATAGATTGCTTTTCTTTCTTGGAAATGACATAACATGGCTGTACTATGTAACTTTATATGGGTTGACACCAAAAGTGTAGCTTGTTTTACTGAGGAACTGAATTTTTAATTTTCTCTAATTCTATTTAATTGTTTTTTTAAATTTAAAGCTGAGAATCTATTCAGTTATTAGAAATCTTAATTATGGGAAGACTTGAGTATATGAATCTGCTTTTCACCTGTAAAATTCATAACATCTAACTAAAAATAGCTCTGAGAAAAACATCTTAATAGAGATATGTTGTAAGTATAAAATAAACAAGAGCTTTCAACAGTTTAGTAAGAACAAGAGAACACAAGCCATCAGTAACTATATGTCAGTTTTGTATTGGCATGTCGTGTGTGTGTGTGTGTGTGTGTGTGTGTGTGTGTGTGTGTGTCATTGGATAAGATATTAAAATTAATCTTGTTTCTTTTTGCTTATACTAATGTGACTTAGCTATTATGTGTAGGTTTCTATTCCATAGAGCCACAGTTCTCTACCCCGTTAACTATGTGATCTATTAGAAACCCTTGATCTCTATTATAATTATCTTCTAATATACATTTCCCCTGCCAGACAGAGAAGCTATTCTGGAACTAGATGGCCGAGTGAAGGAGCAACGTAAAGAAGCTGGACAGAAAACTTTGTACCATGCGGGCTTGTTCCTGTGGCATATCGGTCGCCATGATAAAGCAAGAGAATATATTGACAGAATGCTGAAACTGCCAAATGATAACAATGAGGTGGCTGTTTCCTTGCTTTGAAGTAGAACCTCTAAAGGAAGCCTATTAATATATTCAGTAGTATCTGTTGTTGAGTTTTGCATTATTGCTTACTCTGTTCTCTATAAATAATAGCTTTGTTTCAATATTTTCTATGTTGTAGAATAGGGATTCTCTAAGTTTTCTTTTTTTGTAATGTGAGATGATTTCTTGGTTCTTAGAATGATATGCAGTTAAATATAGTACATAACTCTATCATGTCTATATATGATAGAGACATATAAAGCATTGTTGGAACTAAAGTTACCTATTTTTATTCTGTGAACTCTTTTTTATTGCGAAAATACAGTACAGAGGGGTTACAATTACATGAGCACGGTAATGAGTACATTTCTTATCAAGCATTTTCTGTGAACTCTTGAATAGATCCCTCCCAACTCCTTTTTTTTTCTTTCTTCAGGGGCAGGTTTTGAAAGCCTGGCTCGATATTACGAAAGGAAAAGAACCATATACCAAAAAAGCACTACGGAGTTTTGAGGAAGGATTACAAGATGGAAATGATATTTTTGCTCTGCTGGGCAAGGTGAGTTGGAATAAAGGTGAATAGAGCATATTTTAAATTTTACTCAGAACACTCAAAAAACTAACAAAACCACAAAGATGAAAAATGTTGATGCTTTTCATGATGGTGTTAGCAGCTCTCAAAGGGACCTGCATTTGCGTCAGACACACTAGAGAAAGGCCTTCCCTACCAGAGTGCCTGCTTCCAGGATGGGTTTTGTGTTTGTTACTTTCCTGGCTCAAACATTTACTACTTGTCAACTATGTGTAAGATGTCACTGTAAATATCAGGGATGGAGTGAGCAAAGTAAAACCTGTGTTATATTCTACTGAAGGAGATGAATGATGAACAAAGTAAGTAAATCAGGTAGTGTATTAGATGGTAACATTATCATGCAGTGGAAAATACATAAAACTAGAGAGGATGGCAAAGGAGAGCCAGTCATGAAGTTGCAGCCAGACAGAACTTTTTAAACAAAGTCAGTGACTTTTGAACAAAGAGAGAAGATGGTTAAAATCCTATAGGTACCCTGGAAAACATTACAGACAAGATGGCTTAAGGCACATACAGGATGAAGTGAGGACCCAAGGCCAGGAGCAGTGAATGAAGAGGGTAGACGTGAACACTGGAGGAGAGAGGGAGAGTGTGGGCCAAAAGCCATGAGACAGTTAGTCTGTTCTGTAAGACTTTCGATTGACTTTGCTCTGAGTCATACAGACAGGCAGCCAATGAAAAGTTCTCAGCAGAGAAATAATATGGTCTGACTGATATTTTGAGGGATGGGGAATTATGAGAGCTGTCTCTAGTTGTGAAGGCATTTAAGGTGGGTCCTTAATCCTTAATGACTTGAAACACCTTAACTTTTGTTCTTAAATATTCAGCAAAATAAGTAAGTGAATACATTTACTCTGAGTGTGATGATGCTCTCTTCCAGAGGGGAGAAGAGCTATTCCTCACTTGGCAGAAAAGCGTAAGTGACCAAACTCAGTGCCATAGGCCCTTTTTATAATTTTTCATGTCCTAAGCATGAACACTAAATGTCCTATTTAGTCCCCACCTCCCAGCACTGCTGCAATAGGGATTAAGTTTCAACATGAATTTTGGAGGAGACAAAAAACACTCAAACTGCAGGAGAACCATTCCAAGTATGTATATTTATTTAAAATGTTGTTGTGAGTTTTAAAAAAATCTTGTTTTTTTTCTGGTTATAGGAGTGATATATGCTTTCTTCAGGAAAATCAGAAAGTATTGCACATTAATGGCACACCTGCCATGATGTGGATACATTGAACCATCTGATTGTAATAGATGCCCCTTGTCTCCATTAGGTACAGTGCCTTGAGGTGCGCCAGAATTACTCAGGTGCTCTGGAGACTGTGAACCAGATCATTGTGAACTTTCCCACTTTCCTTCCTGCTTTTGAAAAGAAAATGAAATTACAACTAGCCTTGCAGGACTGGGACCAGACAGTTGAGACTGCACAAAGGTTAAACTTTTTAAAAATGTCTTAAAACTTTTTGGATCTGGATGTAATGATTAGAGTCTATGGTTTATTTGTTTTTCTGGTTTTCTTTTGTCATTAGATTTTCTTAAAGCAGTATAGAATTGTTTCATCTTTAAGATCAGCTAGAACTGATTTTCCTAACCAGCATGGAATTAAAGAAACAAAATTGAAATTTGAAAATGAATGCCAAGACAGACTTTCCTCTAGGCAAATAGGAGAATATGGCTGTCCTCCAGGCGGTGAGGTTGAAGAGTGAGGAAACTGTGCAGTAAGTAAGATGGTGCAAGTGCTGTGGAAAAAAGATAAGGCAGGAGTCGGAGTGCCAGAACATTGGATGGTCGGTAGTGGTGTCAGAGGAGTCCTACCCAGGAGATGGCATGTGAGTCAGGAGCAGGAGAAGGTAAGGGAGTAAACTGTACAGATAGCTAGAAGAAGAGCAAGAATGAAGGAAACACAAATACAAAGCCCAGGAGGCAAAGAAAAGGATTAAGATAGATGAGCAGATTTTGAGATTAGAGATGAAGGGTGCCTGCCAGCAGGCAGGCAGCCTCTTCTCACCAGTGAAACATTTTGGTTTCTCTCCTTTAATGTGAAAGCACTACAGTTTGGGGTATAAGAGTACCTTGTTCCAAATTATATTTCAAAAAAGCATTCTTCTGTGTTAAGAACAATGTGTGGGCAAGAAAATAAGGGAAAAAGCAGAAGGGAGACCATTTTCAAGCCATTTTCCTAATTGAAAAGCAGCTCCGGTAGCAGAGACTTGGGTCTTATTTGTAGCTGCTTTGACAGGTGACCATACTCACATGGGAATGCTCAATTTTTATTGAAATATTTATACTTGTTTTATTTTGGATTTTTTCTGATTATTACTGTGTTTTTCTTTCATTATGTTTTCTATTTTGGTGACATGAGAATCTGTTTTCTTTTAGTTAGTTTATGCCTTTTATTCATACAGTCACTTGTCTTCTGGCTTGTTGAAACAGTAAGTTAGACAACACTTGCCACAGTAATGTCTAGCCATTAAACTCCAGCACCACATTCATCTGAAAGGCACTCTTGACGAAGATGACTAATTTTGCCATTTTCATCCACCTTATAGTATTTTGGGACAGCCAATTTAACCTTCTTTCTCTTATGCTTGATTCTTCTTGGGAGTGGTGTAAAACTTCTTCCTTTTCTTAGCACCACTCTGAAGTCTCAATTCTAGATCTTCCAGCTGCTTACCAGCAAAGATCAGGAGGAATTCCTTCCTTATCCTGGATCTTGGCCTTTACATTTTCTATAGTATTCGAGGGTTCAGCCTTGAATGTGATGGTTTTCCCTGTAAGGGTTTTGATGAAAACTTGCATCCTGGCCGTGGCCCCACCACTGAGGGCAGATCAGAAAGCGAGAATCTGTTTTAATGTATGGATAGCACTAATAGGTTTATCTGACCCATGATGGCATTCCTAGAATTGTTTAATAAATCAGCCTGGTCAAGGTGTTTAAACTTTTAATACATTATTGTATAAGGTTAGATAACACTTTAGTTACAGTTTCCACAGGACTTAATGAGACTGGTCCAGTCGACTCATGTTTTTAACACATGGTTCCTTAGAAGGGTTCACAGTACAACTAAGTAAACACCAGGAAACGGGAACTTGTGAAGTAGATAGGGTTGAGGGGAACTGGGTAGACAAATGAGGAGAGACGAGAGGGGAGAGAATGTAGTCATAAAATTCAGTGCATATCTTACAAATTTGAGAAAATTGAGGAACGAGTAGGTTGGGATGGATGGGGGAGAATAATAAAAGAGATGACATTGACTAAGGTCCACTGTATTCATAAACTGCTTTGTTGAATGGCAACTTCTTTGTACAGCTATTTTAAGATAACAAAATAAAGCCAGTCACTAGTGGCTCATGCTTATAATCCTAGCTACTCAAGATTCTCAAATCTGAGAATCATGGTTCAAAGCCAGTCTGGGCAGGAAAGTACATGAGACTCTTATCTCCATTTAATCACCTAAAAGCTGGAAGTAGAACTGTGACTCAAATGGTAGAGCACTAACCCTGAGCAAAAAAAACCTCAGGGACAGCACTCAGGCCCTGAGTTCAAGCCTCTGAAACACGCGTGCTCATGCATGTGCATACACACACACACACACACACAGAGAGAGAGAGATACTAAAGTATATTTTTAATTGAATTAATTTCCATCCAGACAGCTTGGTAACTTTAAATAATGCAGATGCCATTTTTGCTTATTCAGATTAATTTGAGGAAGCAAATGTACCTCACAAGCCTTTCAATCAAAGGAAATATTAATTTTAAGTCAGCATTAACTGAAATTAATTCACATGCTTCCTTTAGGTTGCTGCTGCAAGATAGTCAAAATGTGGAAGCACTGAGGATGCTAGCTCTTTATTATTTGTGCAGGGAGGGGGACATGGAGAAGGTAAGTGTCTTCTTCAGTTTTCTGTGTTAGAAGTGAACTAAAGCAGGGAGCGGGAGGCTGAGGCAGGAGGACCAAGCACTTGAGGTCAGCCTGTGCTACAAAGCTAATTCACAAGAACCTAGCTACAGCAAAATGGTACCTCAACCAACCCACTTACCCTTATCCCCTTAAGTAGATGTTTTTCATTGCAAAACCACAGTGCGTTAAAGCTCTTTTATTTTCCCACGATGCGGGCTCAAACCCAAAGTCTAGCTCATGCTTTATCTCCAACGTGAAGTTCAACATAGTAGCTTTAGTTGGTCACCAGAAATGCCTCCTTACAAAGCAGTTAGCTTCTTGTGTCAGTTAATGAAACAAAAATACTCTATAGTGAAAGTTTCCCTATAAATTTATACCTTGTTATTAATTTCAGTACATGTGATATTTTAATATAAAATGTATACTCCAACAGATTAACATACTCAGTGATGCTGGATATGAAAAAATGCACATGTGCAGTATAAGTAACTGTATCATATAAATAAAGGTTTCTTAAAGTATTCATATATTAGTGTCAATATGCATGTATTGCATTCTTTTTTCTTACTGTAGTTTAAATTTAATATGGATTACTTTTGTTTTAGGCTTCCACTAAACTGGAACACTTAGGAAATGCGTTGAATACCATGGAACCACAGAACGCTCAACTGTTTTATAAGATTACATTAGCCTTCAGCAGAACTGTAAGAATCCCTTCTATGTGTCAGAGCACTGATGATGATGATGATGATGATGATGGTGATGATGATGATGATGATTAGAGTCTGAAATTAGTCACAAAGGGTGAGGTTTTAAAGAGCATATGGCCCAGGGTAAAACTATGACAGGCATCTAAATATGTCATGAACCTAAGAAAGTTGGTTGAGAGAAAGTAATTTCTAGTTTGAAAAGTCATTCATCAGTTGATCATGGTGGTTCATACCCATAATCTTAGCTATCTAGGAGCTATCCAGGAAACCAAGAGTTTCACTGTTTGAGACCACCCAAGCAAAATGTTCAATGAGACCTCCCCTTTCTCCATTTCAGTAAAAAGCTGGGCATAGTGGCACGTATGTGTCATCATAGCTCTAAGTATAGACAGGAGGAGCGTGGCTTACCTAGCTGGGGCATAAGTGTGAGATTAGTCAAAAAATAATTTTAAAAGGTCTGGGTATGACTCAATTAGTAGAGCAGTACCCTTCTGGCTAGCACATGGCCTTGAATTCAAAAGGCAGTACCACCAGAAAGAAATAAAGAAGCCTTTAAGAAGATTTTATGTAGGAAACGACACTTATTTTCACAGACAGGGAAGTACCTACCTGGCATAAGAAATAGAAAATATTTTCTTTCAATCAAAGATCAGGATTTATGACTAGGATTATTCTTTGCTTTGTTTGGTTTTATAAAATTATTTGGAAAAAAAACGTTTAAAAGTAATTAGTACACTATTGTGGTAGCAAAAAGAAGTTAGAATCCCTTACAATTGTAAGGAATGTATTTTTATTCCACGTGCTCAATAAAAGGAAGGTAATCCAAAAGAGATTAGGGACATATACCAGAATCTAACAACTGATACAAAGAATGAGGTTTGAGAGGTTGTCAGAAATAAGGGGAAAATATGTACATAAAATAGTATACAATGGGCTGGGAAGGTGGCTCAGTGGTAGAGTGCTTGCCTTGCATGCATGAGGCCCTGGGTTCGATTCCTCAGCACCACATAAGCAAAAAGAAAAAAAAGCCGGAAGTGGCGCTGTGGCTCAAGTGGTAGAGTGCTAGCCTTGAGCTGAAGAGCTGAGGGACAGCGCCCAGGCCCAGAGTTCAGGCCCCACGACCGGACCAAAAAAAAAAGAAAGAAAAAAGTAATGCATTTGGTTGGCACCAGTGCCTCAGGCCTATGATCCTAGGTACTCAGGAGGCTGAGATCTGAGGATCATGAGTCAAAGCCAACTGGGGCAGGAAAGTCCATGACATTTTTATCCCCAGCTGGAACTGAAGCTGTGCTTCAAGTGATAAAGCACTAGCCTTGAATCAGCACCCAGGCCCTGAGTTTAAGCCCTAAGACTAGCAAATTAAGAAAGAAATAAAGAAAGAAGGGGAGGAGAGGGAGGGAGGGAGAGAGGGAAGGAGGGAGGGAGGGAGGGAAGAAAAGAAAAGAAAGAAAGAAAGAGAGAGAGAAAGAGAAAAGAAAGAAAGAAAGAAAGAGAGGGAGAGAGAAAGAAAAGATGGGAGGAAGGAAGGAGAAAGAGAAGGAATATTGCCACTAATTAAAAAAAAATGTTTAAGAAGTTTTAAGACGTGATCTTTTAACATGTTAACATGTTTTCTTTTAACATGATTTTTCACGTTTAAAGGGAAAATAGATCCTAGTCCTAGTGTTTTACCTAACTATATATGCATATTGAAAAACTTTTAAACAATAATTTTCCTGTCTTATCCCTAAAATATCTATGAGAATGGTCGCTGGTGGCTCATGCCTATAATTCTAGCTACTCAGGAGGCTGAAATCTGAGGATCACAGTTCAAAGCCAGTCCAGACAACAAAGTCTATGAAGCTCATCTTCAATAAACTACTCAGAGAAGGCCAAAAGTGGTGCTGTGGCTTAAGTGGTAGAGCACTAACCTTGAGCAGAAGCTCAAGGGACAGAGCCCAGACCCTGAGTTCAAGCCCCAAGACCAACAAAAAAATAAAATAGCCGTGAGCTTCCTGTTACATAGTGTCATTAGAATGTAAACTTTTCAAAGTAGCAATTATGTAAAAGTGGTATTTATAAGGGAATATAAATTTTTATAAGTTATAAACTCATTCTTGATGCATTATCTATGTAATAAGCAACGTTTTATTATAAAAAGAATTGTATTCCTTTTTCTCAGCCCTAAGAAATACCAGTAATACATTTAGGGAAAAAAATAGTAATGTTTGATTCCAGTCTTGTTCAAGTTCCTTTATTTGTTTGTTTTTCAGTGTGGACGTAATCCGCTCATTCTTCAAAAAATTCAAACATTTTTAGATAGAGCTTTTAATCTAGCCCCACATCAGCCAGAAATTGCTACAGAACTTGGATACCAAATGATTTTCCAAGGCAAAGTGAAAGAGGCATGGAGGTGGTATAAGACAGCCATGACCCTCAATGAGACCAGTATCTCGGCCGTTACTGGTAGGACATCCATATCTGCTTTTTGTTCCTGTCATTAGAGAAGAAAATATGTCTTTATTCACAAGTTTTGACCGCTATCTCTGGAGAATAGATTTTAATGAGGTAGTTCATAAATTCTGTAGTAAATGGTTTTTATATACATCCAAAGCCACTCATATTGTTTTCTTTTTTTTTTTCAGTGTCTGGATGTTTAAAAATTAGTACTTAAAAAAAAACTCTTGAAGTATGGGGTTGGAGGAAAATGTGTTTTATTAATATTCTTTATGTTAGCTTGAAGTGCACATGCTAGAATTGGTGTGACCCCTGGACTATTTCTATCCTCTTTGGTTTTAGGACTTATTCGATGTCAATTAATCGAAGGACAGTTAGAGGATGCAGACCAGCAGCTAGAGTTCTTCAGTGAATTTCAGCAGTCCATGGGGAAATGTGCGGTACAGTACGAGCTAGATGCTAGATCCCAGCTACTGTTTGTAAAACATGATATTTTAAACCAGTGTTCTCATTTAATAGTTCTTTGGAAGAACTAACCTATACTAATTTCAACTTGTTCATTTATACTATCCTAAAGTAGACTTTAACCTTCCCCCATGAGCCTGAAAGTCCTTCCCCACTAATACTTAGTTGGAACACTTGCATGTAAATAATACTTGATGTGCATTTGATATCTTAGCCATAATTCAGTGGCTTTATAACTGAATGGAATAATTCATGGAAACAATTTATTTTGTAGGAATTAATCTATTTACATGCGGTTCTTGCGATGCAAAAAAATAAACGACAAGAAGAAGTTATAAATTTGTTAGATGATGTCTTGGATACTCATTTCTCAAATTTAGAGGAGTTACCTCTTGGAGTACAGTATTTTGAAAAGCTAAATCCTGATTTCCTGCTAGAAGTTATTATAGAATATCTGAATTTCTGTCCAATGCAGGTAAGTAGTACTGAGACTTATTTCCAAGGCTGTAGTTATATGGTTTTTTTTAATGTAGTAATGATTTATCTTTAACATGTTAGACTATACCAACATCTAAAAAATGATAATATTTATAACTGTATTAGTTGAAATAGTTTAAAATCAGAAGCTTATTTGTTTAGGAATAGTTGCTATTAATAAAGTTGATTTGTAAATATTCCTTTGTAATTCCTTTTTAGAAGTATTACAAATGATCAACACCATTGTGTTTGAATGTTCTCTATAATATCACATTCAAGTGTCATCCAGCCTCTGGACTAACTAGAAAATGAAGTCTTACTATAGAACTGGGTGATTAAACTGCATTTCTCATGCTATATTAAATTGGGCTATGTGGATTTTAAGAAAATAAACATTTCTTAGTCCTTCTCTTACTCTTTGGAAACAGAACAAGTCCAATTACTTGGTCCAAGGAAAGCTCATTCTTTATTCATAAAATCAAAAGATTTAAAAATCTTAGAAATCTAAAGGTTTTTTAAATTAGTTTTCAAGATCCTCTACAATTTCCAGATTCCCAACCTTTTTTAATTGATTAATTTGTTGATTTATTTATTGTCCTGCATGCTAAGCAATAAGCTGCACACCCAGTCTACACCATTTACTTTTTTATATGTTTTTTTATAAAAATACTGTACAAGGGGTTGCAGTTACATGAGCAAAGTAATGAGTACATTTCCTATCAAGCATTGTTACCTCCTGCTTTGTTTTTCCCCTACCGTCCCTTCCCTCCACCTCCACAACTACACTCTCCCCACCCCACCTCCACACCTAAATTGTAAAGTTCATTTTTCAGCATAGTGTCTTGTGCATCTCATTGATACAATGGGTCATCCTGTATCCCTATTTAAACATTTTGTTTTTTCCCTTCCATTCCCCAAATTAGAAAAGTGTATATACAAGATGCAGGGCACCAACATCAAATATAATGAAAACGGGTTATATCGTGGGGGAGGAACATACAAAGAAACAAAGAAATCACATGGTACATTATAAATATGTTAGAAACAATAGCAAGAGGGAAAAAAACCACTTGTGTCCCTATCTTGGGGTTCATTTTGCTTACCATCATCTTATCTGGTCATATGTACATAGTTTTTGACCTTTTCTGCTTGTGTCAGACATATACTAGTTATTGCAAATAAGGGAAACCTATGTTTCTTTGGGCCTGGCTTACTTCACTTAATATAATTTTTTTCCAAGTCTTTCCATTTCCTAACAAATGTGGCAATGTCATTCTTTCTGATGGAGGCATAGAATTTGAATATATATATATATATATATATATATATATGAGCCACTTTTTCTTGATCCTTTATCTACTGAGGGGCATCTGAGTTGGTTCCATATCTTAGCTATGGTAAATAATGCTGCAATAAATCTAGTTGTTCTAGTAGCTTTAGTGTGGTCTTGTTTATGATCTTTTGGGTAAATACCCAAAACTGGGATAGCTGGGTCATAGGAGAGTTCTATGAGGAGTCTTTTGAGGAACCTCCATACTACTTTCCAAAGTGGTTGAACAAGTTTACACTCCCACCAACAATGCAGTAGGGTTCCCTTTTGGCCACACCCCCACCAGCATCTGTTGTTATTAGAGTTCTTGATTTTTGCCATTCTAACTGGAGTGAGGTGGAACCTCAATGTTGTTTTGATTTGCAATTTTTTTATGGCTAGAGAGGTTGAACATTTCTTCATATGTCTATTGGCCATTCTTATTTCCTCTTCAGAGAAGTTTCTCTTTAAGTCTTTAGCCCCCTTATTAATGGGGTGGTTGTTTCTTTGAGGATTTGTTGGTGGGGGATTTAATTTTTTGAGTTCTAAGTATATTTTAGATATGAGACCCTTGTCCATTGTATGGCTAGTGAAGATCTTCTCCCAATCTGTAGGCTTTCTATTGATCTTGCTAGCTATGTCCTTTGCCATGCAGAAGCTCTGCAGCTTCATGCAATCCCATTTGTCCAACCTTTCTTTGATTCGTTGTGTTACTGGGTCTCTATTAAGAAAATTTCAGCCTGTGCCAAGGAGACCTAGGGTTTCTCCTATTCCATCCTGTAATGTTTTCAGAGTGTCTGCTTTGACTTCAAGGTCTTTGCTCCATTTGGAGTTGATTCTTGTGCAGGGTGATATATAAGGATCTGGCTTTAGTTTTCTACAACTGATTAACCAATTTTGCTCCCACAATTTACGGAAGAGGCTGTCTTTCTTCCATTCGATTTTTTAAGCTCCCTTATTGAAGTTTAGGTGGCTGTAGGTTTGTGGGTTCATTTCTGGGTTTTCAATTCTATTCCATTGGTCCTGAGGTCTGTTCTTGTGCCAGTACCAATCTGTTTTGATTACTATGGCTTTGTAATAGAGTTTGAAATTTGGTATTGATATTTCTCCAGCACTATTCTTTCTGTTAAGGATCATTTTTTGCTATTTGAGGTCTTTTATTGTTCCATATGAATTTTTGGATTGTTTCTTCTATTTCCTTGAAGAATGAGGTTGGAATATTGATAGGTATCATATTGAATTTGTAGATAGCCTTGGGAAGTATTGCCATTTTCACGAGAGGTTGATCCTTCAGATCCAGGAGCATGGGAGGTTTTTCCACTTCCTAAGTTCTGTTTTGATTTCCCTTTTCAGGTTTTTAAAGTTTTTCCTCCCTTCCCCCCACCCCCACCAAAGTTGTAAAGTTAGTTTTTCCACATAATGACTCGTACAATGGATCCACCTGTATCTCTATTTAAACAATTTGTTTTGTCCCTAGGTTTTTAAAAGTTTTCATCGTAGAGGTCCTTCACTTCTTTAATTAAGTTAATTCCTAGGTATTTTATTGTTGGTGGGGCTATTACAAATGGAGTTGCTGTCCTGATTTCAGTCACACTTTTCTCATTGGTAGCATATAGAAAAGCCATTGATTTTTGAAGGTTAATTTTATACCCTGCTACTTTGCCAAGGTTTTGAATCAGCTCAAGTAATTTGGGAGTGGAGTCTGTGAGATTCTTTAAATACAAGATTATATCATCTGCAAAGAGGGAGACTTTTACTTCATCTTTCCCTATTTGGATCCCCTTTATGTTTGCATCTTATCTTATTGCTGTAGCTAGGCATTCTAATACTAAATTGAAGAGAAGTGGAGAGAGTGAACATCCTTGCTTCATTCCTGAGTTTAGAGGAAATGAGTTTAGTTTTTCATCATTAAGTATAATGCTGGCTGGAGGTTTGTCATATATAGCCTTTATTGTATTGAGGAATGTTCCATGGATTCCTAGTTTTTCCAGAGCCTAAATCTTAAAGGGGTGTTGGGTCTTGTCAAATGCTTTTTCTGCATCTATTGAGATAACCATGTGGTTCTTATCCTTGCTCTTGTTGATGTGATGAATTATATTAATTGATTTGCATATATTGAACCATCTTTACATCCCTGAAATGAATCCTGTTTAATCGTAGTATATTATTTTTTGGATAAATTGTTGGTCAAAATTTTGTTGAGAAGTTTTGCATCAATGTTCATCAAAGAAATGGATCTATAGTTCTCTTTCTTAGTTGAGTCCCTGCCTGATTTTGGGATGAGGGTTACAATGGCTTCGTAGAACAAGTTCAGTAGTGAACTTTCTATTTCAATTTCATTGAAGATTTGGAGGAGTATTGGTGTGAGTTCTGCTTTGAAGGCCTTGTAGAATTCCGCTGTAAATCCATCCAGTCCTGGGCTTTTCTTAGATGGGAAGTCTCTTTTTGATGTTTCTATTTTGATGCTTGATATGGGTCTGTTAAGTTGGTTTAACTCATCTTGGTTTAGTTTCGGCATGTCGATATTTGCTATGAAATCGTTCATTTCTTTCAGATTTTCAAACTTATTAGCAAAACCATTTACTTTTCAATGACGTACTTTTGAGAACCCTAATTGTTTTATCTATACCTCTTATTAACTTCACAATCCCAAATATGTGTTTGACCTTCAAGACCTATAATATCACCATATTCTCTTTATTGTAGATGCTCAGCTAAGGTTATTTTGTGTGTGAATCACATTACATCATTGACCTCTATCATGTTAAAGTTAACACATTTCAATAGATCTTGCCTTTGGATTTAAGTCTAGGACTCTACATTTATACTTAGGACATTTTCCCTTCTCTCATTTATCCAATCAGTCCAGATGATCACATTTCTTTTAGAACTTGTCATCTATTTTATATAGAACCTTATTGTCATCTGCCATCTGTTTTATCTCGCTCTCAGACAGCCATAGTGATCTCATGCAAGGATTAATTACTTTGTGTAGAACTGAGAACAGAATCTGTATTCACTACCAGCGAGTTCTTTCCTACTTCACGTGCACTTATTATAGACAGCACAGAGATGCAAACACCCTAACTTTATTATGCTCAGATCCTAATTCAACGCCAATGGTGTCCTCCCTAAAAGAAAACTTCTTAGCATTCTCCCAATATGTGTAAAATCAGGGTTTAACATTTTAAAGGATTCCTTGGCTGCTGTGCTGATAATAAACTGTAGGTGGAGCAAGAAATAATGTATGAAGTGCTGTATAAATGGGTCTTTACTCCAGCTGTACATCCTACTTTTCTCATTATTTTACCAAGATGTCTTCAACCTAGCCAGCAATTATAATGTTTTTTTCTTTGTGGGGGGAGGGATTACATTTTTATTTTACTAACATAAATTAGTTGCACAGAGGTGTTTATTGTGATATTTCTATACAGAGTGTACTTCGATCAGATTTACTTCTTTTTTTTGCTCTTCTCCCCACGTCTCTTCCCCATCTTAAAAGAATTTGAGTTTGTTTCATTATATTATTTTCGTGGTCATGGCGCTTGAACTCTGGGCTTGGGCACTGTCCCTGTGCTCTTTAGCTCAAGGCCAGCTAATGGTTTATTGGGACTAAGACTCTCATGGACTTTCCTGCCAGTCCTCACAGACTGACTGGCTTTGAACTGAAATCCTCAGCCTCCTGAGTAGCTAGGATTACAAGTGTAAGCCACTGGCACCTGGTTATTTTCATATATATTTATAGTAAACTTTGACCATATTCACAGCACATCACTTTCTCCATTCCCCTTCCTCCTCCCACTGGGCCTCTCCCAAGACAATCCACTTTCATAATCACGTCATATTATTGTTGCCCTTGGTTGACCAGGCACTGTTTGCTGACACGCCCTCTTCCTGTGCTACTTAAGTTCATGCTGAGGTTTCCAACTGGCTTCTCATTCAGGCATGCTGAGGGTAGTGTCTTTCCAGCTGGCTTTAGGTCATCTGGATGAGTGCACTGGCTCCCAGCTACCAGTTTCTTCCAACATAATAGCTAAGCTCTGACTTGAAACTTTAAACCTTGCTGAGATGTATTTTGCTTCCCAGTCACAAAAAAAAAAAAAAAACAAAACTTGGCCGCGCTGTTTGCTTGTAATCCCCTGTCAGAAGCAAGTGACAGAACTGACTCTGACTTGTGACTGCCTGGGTCCTGCCTGGTCCTCTTTTGTGTTATTTCACAGGGGCTCACTCAGAAGTTTGGAGTAGCTCTGTGATACCAGTTCATCTCCCCCCCCCGCCCCCCCCCGTGTCTATAATGCTGTTCTTACAGGGAAACACCAGAAACATACAATTATCTCTCTACCTCTGATCCTGATGTTTTCTTTAAAATTAAAATTGAAGAAGTATAATCTTACAGATCATCTAATACCTCTGTTTTTCTGTTTTCAAGTGCATGTGGAAACCTGTTAAATGATAAAATGTGATAGTTGTTCCCAGACAGGGGTCATGCTTCATATCCGCAATCTCAGTATTAGTCGATTACTAATTACTCATTACTCAGTCCCTGTCATTTATACACTTTCAATGTGTTTTCAGTTCCACTGGGAAAAAATTTAATATTTTAAAGAATTTAATTTGTGTCTATTACTATGGAAAATAGTATAAAATTCCAGTGTTCAAGGCACAAAGTCCCTTAATCCTGTATAAGAAGCAAAACTGAATGGGGAACTACTGTACAATTAGTTTAAGTGCTGTATAGAATTTGTTTAAGAACTTGAAAGAAGTTGAAGTACTTTAGGTTAAATACTATGTGAATTTACAAAAAGATATAATTTGTTTTATGTAGCCTTCAAGTCCGGGTCAGCCTCTTTCTCCACTTCTCAGACGTTGTACCTCAGTTCTGGAGACAATAGTAAGAACAGTACCAGGTCTTCTGCAAGCTGTCTTCCTAATAGCAAAAGTAAAATATTTGTCAGGTACAGTATTACCTTAAAGAGTTAAAATAATTTTGTATTCTTATGTTGATAAAAGACAGATATAAATAAGTATTGCACTATATGTGTGGAGAATAGTCATCTAAAGTGTACATTCTCCATGTGCATAGATGTGATTTTATCCCAAAATGAGAAAAAATGTAAAACACATTTTATTCTTGAAAAATTACTATAACTTTTTTGTATCACCAGTGAATTGATAGCAATATTCACTTTTATCACTGTTTTAAAAGTCTTATCACAGCTACTGGAGATTGTAATAAGAATGTGCAACCTGTATTAATTCACAGTTGTTGAATTTTGTAACCAAATAGAATGCATATCAGATTTCAAGTCCTTATGAAAAGTATCAATTAATGTATACTTTTAGGGGATAGTTAAATATGGTTAAAAATGTGATTCTGGTTGTGCATTTAGCTTTTAGAACACAAATATAATGACTTTACACATTAAAAAAAGACCATCAAAATAAAAAATAGACCATCATGCCATATAATATGTAATATATATATACATTATAGATATTATATATATGCTATATATATATATATATACATATATATATGTCTCTTCCCAGCTGAATGCTATGCCAAGTGAATGTCAGCTTAAAGCTATTCCATAGGTACTTTTTGCTTTTATATAATAAAGTGGTTACCCTCGCTATTTTTTAGAATTTATTGTTAACTATTTTCAAGAAGAAAATTAACCTGATGTTAAATCTTTATTTCAATATGGTGTCTCAGTGGTAGTGTTCCTGCCATACAGCTGGCTGTCGTGACTTCTGACACTAACTGGCTGCATGAGGGCACACAGTCCACCACAGGCCCTCATGCACATCAGACATCCCTGGACTCCTGACTAGCTTGCTACAAATTTAGGGTGTCCTGCAAGCTCCTTCACCAGTCTAAAGTCAAGTCCATCCTTCCTGTTGCGTTTATCATAATCATTTCCTTCTATTTCAAGACTACAGACTATAACAGCAGCCAGCTTCTAAAACACTTGACATTTTCAGTGGGCCTTAAAGGCATTTTAAATCTATAGGTCAGAATCTCTAGACTGTATCTTTATGTCTATTTTGTCATTTTACATAATAGTAATAAGTGTTCCAGATAAGAATGATTATTAGCCCATATGTTCTTTGGCAACATAAGTGAAACTGACAGAATTCTAGGTATATGAATTTTTTTTTGGGGGGGTCCGGTCGTGGGGCCTGAACTCTGGGCCTGGGCACTGTCCCTCAGCTCTTCAGATCAAGGCTAGCGAGCGCACTACTACTTGAGCCACAGCGCCACTTCCAGCTTTTTTCTTTTTGCTTATGTAGTGCTGAGGAATCGAACCCAAGGCCTCAGGCATGCAAGGCAAGCGCTCTACCACTGAGCCACCTTCCCAGCCCCACAAATATTTTTTTTTTAAAGCTTACTTGAATGAAAGATTAGATAAAACATTGTTTACTTGCTTCCTTATTTTGGTTAGGCCAGGGTTTCACCAAGTAGTCCCAGTTGGCCTACAGCTTCTGATTTTTTTACTTCAGTATCCTGAGTACTGGGGATTATACACATATACCACTAAGCCCAGCTAATAAAACTTTGTGTGTATGTACCAGTCCTGGTAGGCTCAAGGACTGTCCCAGAGCATTTTTGCTCAAAACTGATGCTTTGCCACATAAGCATGGCCCCACCACCAGCTTTTTTGGTAGTTAATCGGAGAGAACAGTTTACAGATTTTCATGCTCAGGCTGGCTTCAAACTGCAATCTTTAGATCTCAGCCTCCTGAGTAGCTAGGATTTTTGACAAGGAACATCCAGGTGAACTTAAAAGCCTATCGCTAACATTGATCCCCAGCTGCCATGCTCTCATGCCCTTACTGACTTACTAATCATGATCAGTACAGGCTTGACTTACAGGAGGAAACTGACTCATTCGAGTAGGATTGAAACTACAGCCTTATAAATAGAAGACTTGAAATTAAAACACTCTTCTATCTGTAACCAAACACCTGTCTTTCTGTCAGGTCTCCCCATCATCATCATCTGAAATATAATGGGTTGTTCTTTCTTTCAGGGGATATTGAAGCTGCATACAACAACCTGCAGCACTGCCTGGAGCACAACCCCTCCTACGCAGAGGCCCATCTCCTGATGGCTCAGGTTTATTTGTCTCAAGAAAAATTCAAGTTATGTTCTCAGTCTCTCGAACTTTGTCTGAGCTATAATTTTGATGTAAGCATACCAAACTAAGACTTATCACCTTCTTTGAACCTTTAGTGAATGTTTACCCATTTAGCTATTTTATATATGCGCCTATAGTGTATTGTTAATTAATATGTTTTTGTTGTTGTTTTTTCTGTTGTATGTTTGATTCTGAAAGATAGTTCTTATGATGTACTACACCTTGGACTTGAATATGCTGTCTCTGCCTCTAAATACAGTCATAAATGGCATTTGATTTTATTTTTTTTAAGGTGGTAGTGTTGGTGGTCGTAGTGGTAGTACTGAGGTTTGAACTCAGGATCCCGCTTGCTGGCAGATGCTCTAAGACGTGAACCATATTTTCAGCCCTTTTTTGTTTTAGTGTTTGGATAAGATCTTGTATTTTTTGCCCAGGCTTTGCCTGGACTGTGATTCTCCTACCTTGCAGCTGGGATCACAGAATGTGAACCACCTAGTCTAGCTTGCTGGTTGAGAAGGGGGGTCTTGAAGACTTTTTGCTAAGGAAGACCTTAAACCACAAATGGCCCAATGTTAATCACCTGAATAGCTGGGATTACAGACATGCACACCTCTGCTTGGCTTTAACTGCATTTGTAATAGCAAGAATTTTGGACTCACAAGCAGTTGGGGAAAAATATGAATGTACCTATAGTTTCATTTTTTAATTTACACATTTGCAAAAATATTATTGAGGCACAGTGGTGTGTACTATATATCTAGTCCCAACTGAGGAGGCTGAGACAGAAGGATCACTTGAAGTTTAACTTCAACCTGAGCAATTCATCAAGACCTGTCTCAAGTAAATAAGCAAACTTTATGTGCTTGCCAACAAAAGTTCTGACATCAATGTCTTGGTTTTCTATTGATCTCTCTTGAGCCTGTTTTGTATAAAAGTCACTTAATATCACTCTACCATTACAGTAAGTTAAGGGCAACAATGAATGCATTTAAAAGAAATAGTAATCCATAGAAAATTGTGCCTAACATTTTTATGTATGAGAATATTAATTGTTGCTTTTCTTTTTGAACTTTAATTTTTTCAAACTTCTCTTTAGATTCATCATCAGTAAATGTCTTTCATTTTTGCAATCATTATGTTTGAGTGTATAAATACACTGTTACTATCCAGATACCGTGAATATTTTCTCTAAACATTAGGAAGAATCTTAGGTTGAAGTGGTTCCTGAGCTATTTAGTGATGAAAGATGTCTCCTCAAATTTTTACTTTGCTTCACAAGATCTCAAACTCTGTTAGGTAAACTAGAAGATGGAGTAAACAAGAGGTTAAAAGTTCTAAGCAAACTTTGCAGAAACTATCTCCAGCTTGTTGGTACAATAGCTCTCTATCTGGCAGTGAGTCAGTCTGATTCTAATACCCACCCTGTGATTCAAAATCTCTAGGAGAACCAAGCATGAAGACTGCTGCAGAGCTTCACAGGGGCTCAGGGGGCTAGCTCAGGGTGACAGCCACTGCCACAGAGGTCCCCCACTGTCCCCCTCACTCCAGGTCATCTCCTTCCCTTTGGATTCTCTTTCCTCAAGGCTTTTGCCTTTTTTTGTTGTTTGTTTTTTTCTATAACACTTGATAGCCAAAATACAGAAGCTTCATTGTTACAGGTTTAGGATAGAATAAAAAGGTAAAATCCCTGAAATGTTTTCTCTTCCTTTTTGATGTTTTATGATAGTAACTCAACTATGTAGCACAGGCTAGCATAGAACCCCAGGAATTCCTGGCTGGCTCCACTCATTCTGAGTGCTGGGATTGCAGGTGTGTACTACCATGCCTGGCTTGAAATGTTCAATTCTAAAAGTAAAAGTTGAAAGGAGAACCTGAGTTTCCAGAAAACTAAGAACTGTCGGTACTAAAAGTTGCACATGAAGTAATTCCTTTCCTGAAGATTACATACGTGTGTATGTGTGTGTGTGTGTGTGTGTGTGTGTATGTGTATGGTAGCCTTGTGTGTAGTCTTCCTTTGTGTTTTTTTTTCTCTCATGATCAACCTCTTGCTATGCAGGAGGATGCTGGGTAGAATCTGATGTAACAGAATACATGATTAGGAAGTTACTAAGAGGACAGAAACAGACCTTGTACAATCACAGATGACTATTCTCAGTAATATTGTTTTAATGTTTGATGGACTGTAACATGTATTGATACTGTGAGCACTTTAAATAGCTATTGACTATTTCCCCAGGTGAGAGAATATCCTTTATATCATTTGATCAAAGCTCAGTCACAAAAGAAAATGGGAGAAATATCAGAAGCCATTACAACCCTGCACATGGCAATGAATTTACCAGGAATGAGGAGAACGGGCACTTCCTCAAAATCCAGGAAAACTGACGTGGACAGAAGCAATCGTTTATCCATCTTTCTTGAGTTGGTGGAAGTTCACCGTTTAAATGGAGAACAGGTAAATCAGCTTGAATCTGAATTTTGTTCAGTAGCAAGTTTAAAAGCCAGAATTATTCCCTTTATGAAGGAGTAAAGTTTAGAAGATTTATTTTTCATTATTTTAGAGTAAAATGTGCTTTTTTGCAAGTCGCTGAATGTTAAGCACAATTGGTTCCTGGGTAATTTAAGTCTCAGTGTGCTTACATTGGCTACCAGGAAAGGTGATAATATACTATATGGGGACTTTGGTAGCATGAGAGGTCAAAGGCTAATGCAGTTAGAACCTTACAAGTTCCTAAAAGAATTAATACAAGTGTGCAACCCCACCAGCACACACACATACATTCTCATGCATATGAAAGTTCTACTGAAATAAGAAAATAGCAACCTGAAATTCTAATCTGAGAAAACATAGGAAACTCTGGATGAATCTATTATTATCAAAGGGGTCAGAGCGAGATGGATACTTAGAAATAATACTGCTAGTTAAGATGTACTTTTTCACATTTTAACACTTCTGAAGTTAGTAAATCCTATAACCTCTAAAGATAATATGAATTTTATGTCTGTGTGCCTGTACTTGTGCTTGAACTCAGGGCATAGGCCTTCACTTCTTCACTCAAGGCTAATGCTCTACCACTTAAGCCACAGCTCTACTTTGGGCTTTTGGGTGGTTAATTGGAAATAAGAGTCTCATAGACTTCCTTCTGAGTTTCCTTCACACCATACCCCTCAGATCTTAGCCTCCTGAGTAGCTACAATTGCAGGTATAAACCACCAGTGCCTGGAAAAAAGTTAATAAAAACTTTAGAATAAATGACATTTAGACTTTTAGAGATACAAATTTGGAAGTGAGATAAAAGCACTTACCAGAGACAGTAAGGAAATGCAGTAGTTTGCTGCTTGATGAGGAGCAATGTGGACATACGTGTGTGGACATACATGCGTGGATACACATGACTGCAGGCTGGATCTTATCTAAGACCAACATGTCTGCCTGAGTTAGAGCTCTAGTTCTGAAACTTTTAACTCTGAATCTTAGCTCTAGTTCTGAAACTTTTAACTCTGAATCTTAGCTTTCTTAGAACATGATAGTAGTGAGTGTCTTAGAAGGTTATGTGAATATTAAATGGGCTAACTCAATGCTAGGTAAGATGTGTCTATTGAAATGTAGTAGCAATGGCAATGAAGCAACTGTTGTTTCCTAGTTGTGAAAATATTTATCCAGTTAACAAGTATTTAATGACTCATCTGGTTTTGGTCTCCGAGTTAAGTTTTAATTTTTTTACGTTTCTAAAAATCTATCAACTTATTTATAAATACTGTAAGTGTACTTGCATTTGATACCTATTGTATTCCATTAGAGCATGCTCCTTTCTAATATAAATTGTTGATTACTCTGAAAGAATATTTATTTCATCTTAACAGCATGAGGCAGCAAAAGTTCTACAAGATGCCATCCATGAATTTTCTGGAACATCTGAAGAACTGAGGGTTACTATTGCTAATGCAGACCTAGCTCTGGCCCAAGGAGATACTGAGCAGGCTCTGAACATGCTTCGGAATGTCACTGCTGAGCAGCCTTACTTCATAGAGACCAAGGAAAAAATGGCAGATATTTATTTGAAGTATAGGAAAGAGAAAATGTTATATATCACCTGTTACCGGTAAATAGTTACTTTAACCCAGATAGTTTGATACATTTATCCCTAAAATTAAATCCCAACAATGGTTTAGTCTTTCTTTTACATTCTTCATAGATAGTTTACAGATCCTTTCTGTCAGACACTTTAAGTTTTGGCTTTATTGAGAAAATACTTATGCTTACTTCAAAGTATGGCTTAATCTCATCAACTATTCTTTCTACATCTCCAGTCTTCCTGTTTCAGAAGAGAAAAGCAGGAGTTATGTATATTCTTATAACTTACAAGAATTTGTAAAAATAGCAATCTAGAAAATAGATATATTCAATACCTGATATATTAGTTGCAACAAAAGAAAATTATAGGTTAATATACACCAATCTTATCTCTGGATTAATTTTTTTTCCTCAGAGGAAAAGCAGGAACTTTAAAAGTTATTTTGTAATGATATTCTTAAGAGTTACTGGGACACACAACAAACATATAAACACAGAAACATACTGCTATTCCTCTTCTAAAAAAATACACAAGCATATGCTTAAAGAGAATACTTTAGTTTTAAGAACGTTGTAAAATATTCATGAATTAAGTAAGTATTGGCAAATGTACATCATATAAATATCTAAGTTCAAGTTAACTAAGTAGAGTTGATCTGTTTTCCAGAGAAATTGCAGAAAGAATGCCCAGCCCTCGGTCCTTTCTTCTTCTTGGTGATGCATACATGAATATTCAAGAGGTAAAATTTCTAATGTTATTAAACTTAGAATTTTTTTAAATTACTCTTTGTGATTAGTATAACTTTCATTGAAAGGATATAGCTTTTTTGTACTGCTTATTCAATATTTATAGATCCAGTCATCTCAGTGAAAGGAAGATAGCTATTTCAATAAGAAGTGTTTTCTTTTTATATATGGAGACTCAATAATGCAGAGCTACAGTTATGTGTTGGAGAAGCAATGGTGTATGCATGAGGAATCCCCTTTATACACAACATTGAACCAGTGGCTATTAGGAAGACTCCCCGAAACGACAATTCAGGAAGCTCTCATTTTGTTCTTATTAGTTATGTAGTTTTTGTGAAAGTACAGGATAACAATTCTTGGTTAGTTCCATAAAGTATGAATTTTTTCCCAAGTCTTTCCATTTCCTAACAAATGGGGCAATGTCTTTCTTTCTGATGGAGGCATAGAATTCCATTGTGTATATATACCACATTTTCTTGATCCATTCATCTACTGAGAGGCATCTGGGTAGGTTCCGTATCTTAGCTATGGTGAATAATACTACAATAAACATAGTTGTGCTGTTAGCTTTAGTATGGCCTTGTTTGTGATCTTTTGGGTAAATGCCCAGAAGTGGGATTGCTGGGTCATAGGGTTGCTCTATGTGTAGTCTTTTGAGGAATGTCCATTCTGCTTTCCAGAGTGGTTGAACAAGTTTACATTCCCACCAACAATGCAGTAGGGCTCCCTTCTGGCCACATTCCCTCCAACGTCTGTCATTATTACATTTTTTTTATTATAGTCATTCTAACTGGGGTGAGGTGGTATCTCAATGTTATTTTGCATATTTTTTTTGTTTTACATATTTTTATGGACAAAGAAGTTGAGCATTTCTTCATATGTCTATTGGCCATTCTTATTTACTCTTCGGAGAAGTCTCTCTTTAAGTCTTTAGCCCTCTTATTAATGGGGCAGTTGTTTCTTTGAGGATTTGTTTTTGGGTGACTTAATTTTTTGAGTTCTAAGTATATTTTAGATATGAGGCCCTAGTCTGTTGTATAGCTAGTGAAGATTTTCTCCCAGTCTTTCTACTGATCTTGCTAGCTATGTCCTTTGTCATGCAGAAGCTTTAAGTTTCATGCAATCCCATTTGTCCAACCTTTCTTTGATTTGTTGTGTTACTGGGTCTCTATTAAGAAAATTTCAGCCTGTGCCAAGGAGACCTAGGATTTCTCCTATTCCTTCCTGTAATGTTTTCAGGGTATCTGCTTTGACACCCTGATGGTCTTTGATCCATTTGGAGTTGATTCTGGTGCAGGGTGATATATAAGGATCTAATTTTAGTTTTCTACAGGTGTTTAACCAGTTTTTCCAGCACCATTTACTGAAGAGACTATCTTTCTTCCATTTTGTTTTTTTAACTCCCTTATGAAAGATTAGGTGCTGTAGGACTGAGGGTTCATTTCTGGGTCTTCGGTTCTATTCCATTGTTCTTCAGGTCTGTTCTTGTGCCAGTACCAAGAAGTTTTAATTACTATGGCTTTATAGTAGAGTTTGAAATCTGGTATTATTTTTCTTCCAGTACTGTTCTTTCTGCTAAGGATTAGTTTCGCTGTTTTTGCTATTGTTCCATATGAACTTTTGGATTGCTGCTTCTATTTCATTAAAGAATGAGATTGGATATTGATGGGTTTTGCATTGCATTTGTAGACAGCCTTTGGCAGAATTGGAGACTTATAAAAACGGTGTCACTTAATGGGATCCAATTTTTATTGCTTATATTTTGTGTCTGACAATTTTAGCCCGAAGAAGCTATAGTTGCCTATGAACAGGCATTAAACCAGAACCCAAAAGATGGGACTTTGGCAAGCAAAATTGGGAAGGCTCTTGTCAAAACTCACAACTATTTCAAGGTAAGTGTTTCATATTTGAGCTATGTCTATTGGATCAAACTGATCACACTCTGCTCTTAAGAAATTGCCAACAAGCAATCTTGGATGATTGAAAATTCCCAAATTCATGTTCAAGAACTTGTCCTTGTAGGGAAAGTTTTCTTGGAATCTTACATTCTTTATTGCTTCATATTGTTTGGAACCTAGAGTTTATTTTGGTCTTCCCTTTCCAGGTAAATCTTTGTATTCAAATCAGTTACCACAACTTTCTATTCTTCCTTCTCTTTTATTACATAATAAAGCATGACCACTGTCCTTGCTGCTGAACTAACATGGGCAAACTGTACTTTGAGTCATTTTGTTTGCTAATAAAAACCATAGGTTTTCTTTTAGCTGAAATGATCTAGTGTATCTACCTCTGTCAGTTGTTAAACATGTATAATACACTAGCTAGCAAAGAATATACAATTTAAGATTCACTGGTCTCTAGAACAAAACCTGTGAAAAAACTTTTTTGTGGTCAAGTACTATTTGCTAGCCAATTGTAAGATACGTAAGTTTACATATGGAATATTTAAATCTGAAAAACAAAAAAACAACAGCATGCTGATGCGCATGATATCTTGTGCCTGTAATTCCAGCAGCTACTTAAGTGGTACAGTTAGGAGAATCATGTTGGGTAAACAACCTAAGCAAAAAGATAGTGAGACTCCATCTTTGCAGTAATTTGGCATTGTGGTACGCACTTCTCATATCAGCTACACTGAGAAGTGCAAAAATAGGAGAATCACTGTCCATACTTGACACACAAAACTCTATCCCTAAAATTACTAAAGCATAAAAGGCTAGAGACAGGATTAAATGATAGAGTGCTTGCCAAGTAAACATTTGGGTCTTATGTTCAACCCCAGTGCCAGCAAAAAAGGAAAGAAAGATGCTGTACTTAACTAATAATACAGGTACATGCCAGGTTATTTTCAGTTAGGGATTTGCCATAAATCTGTTGTACAAAATATTTGTGCTGCAATGCCATTCTTATGGCCTTTTTTCCTAACTAAAATGAATTTCCTTTAGGCAATCACTTATTATGAAGCTGCTCTGAAAAGTGGACAACAGAATTACCTTTGCTATGATCTGGCTGAGCTCTTACTAAAATTGAAATGGTACGAGAAAGCAGAGAAAGTTCTTCAGCATGCTCTCTCTCACGAACCAGGTATGAAAAAGGCTTTCAGATTTGACAAAAGTGCATAACAAATCTTATCCGCTTTATTTTTTTGTTATAGTATATATTGACATGCTCAATATTTTTAACCTTTTTTTTTTTTTTTTGTCGGTCATGGGGCTTGAACTCTGGGCCTGGGCACTGTCCCTCAGCTCTTCAGCTCAAGACGAGCGCTCTACCGCTTGAGCTACAGCGCCACTTCTGGTTTTCTGCTGGTTTATTGGAGATAGGAGTCTCACCGTCTCTCCTGCCTGGGCTGGCTTTGAACCGCGATCCTCAGATCTCAGCCTCCTGAGTAGCTAGGATTACAGGCGTGAGCCACCAGCGCCCAGTTTACATGCTCAATATTTTATATGTTTACTTGGTTATATAAATTTATATGTATTTTTTCTTTTATCAGGATGTTACTCTACTAAAAGGTATTTAAAACTCAACCACAGCCAGGTGCCTGTGGCTCAGGCTTACACCTGGGATCCTAACTACTCTGCAGGTGGAGATCTGAGAATCTCAGATTGAAGTCAGTGTGGAAAGACAAATCTTGAGATTAACTGATAAATAGCCAGAAGTAAAGGCATGACTCAAGTGGTAGAGCACAGTCTTGAGAGTATGAGGCCCTAAGATTCAACCCCAGTAACAGCTCTCCCCTTAAAAAAAAAACTCACATTAGCCACAAGTTTATGAATCAAATAACTGTGTTGTAGAACAGAGCTACCTCCTTAACTGATATAAAATAAGTTATTTCTAAATTACAACTACCTCCATAGTATTTAGATACTTTCATAATCTTTGCTTTTTAAAAATAGTAAAAATAAGGATCTTGTTAAAAATCCAACTACTGGCTCAGTAACTCGTGTCTATAAATCCTAGCTACTCAGGAGGCTGAGATCTGAGGATCACGGCTCAAAGACAGCCCCAGGTAGGAAAGGGATTCTTATCCCTGATTAACCATCAAAAAGACTGAAGTGGAGCTGTGGTTCAAGTGTAGAGCAGTAGCTTTGAGGAAAAAAAAGCTAAGGAGACAGCATCAGACTCTGAGTTCAAGCCCCAGAACCAGCACCAAAAAAAAAAAAAAAACAAGTACTACGAATGAATAGTAATGCTTAATCATCTATATGTCCAAACGTCATACATATCTGTTCTCACATTACCTCCTGTAAGTAATTTATGACTAGTTGTATATCTTTTCTCTATGTATTTGTCTATGTGTATGTATAAAAAAAGTGAGCATAATTTTCCTTTTAAAAAAATGTGTGGTTCAGCTGGGTGCTAGTGACACGCACCTGTTAGGCTAGCTGTATGGGAGGTTAAGATGGGAAGGATGGCAGTTCCAGGCTAGTCTGGACAGAAAAGTCCGGAAGACTCTGTCTCATTGGAAGAAGTGCTGTATCATCGTGACTCCTGTCATTCCAGCTACAGTGGGAAGAGAATAGAAACACAGTCCAGGTACACACCTTGGCAAGAGTCAAGACCCATTCTCAAATAACCAACATAACTGAAGGTGTGGCTCAGTGGTGAGAGCACCTGCCTGTCAGCTTCCAGGGTTCTGAGTTCAAACCCCAGTACCACCAACAGAAAAATAAATATAATTTCTATCTATTATACATAGACATATCCCAAATGTCAGTGGATAGTAGTACATTCATATCATTCTATCCTGTTTTATAACTCCATAGGTTTCTCTATTATTGGACCGTCAGTTGGTTTTTGCTTGTTTTGATATTATAAATTGCATTACAGTAAATATGATTATATTTCATTCCATCACGTATACTTGATTGTATCTTTAGAAGATAATGGCTCAAAGTTAATGTACATAACGTTTTTGCTGGCCCGGCTCAGTGGTACATACTGTAATCCTAGGGACACAGACAGGAAGATTGTCTAGCTAGAAATAGCTAAACTCTGTCTCAAACACAAGCCAGGTATAGTGTTATTTGCCTATGGTCCCAACTATTTTGGAGGTGGAGGTAGGAGGATCAACGTTCAAGATCAACCCAGGCAAAGTTAACCTGAGCCCCCAAATAAAAAATGAAAATTAGAAGTGGCTCAAGTGGTGTTTTTTTTAAAGAAAAAATGTGTTTTCAAATTGCCTTTTTTGCAAGTTTGTACAAGTTTTTTTGCAATCATTATTTTTAAAAAAATAAAATTTAGTGTTTGCTCATTGTCAAAACTTAAAGATTGCGGAACTGAGTGAAAATGGTGATTCTCCTACCTTCCAAACAACCTGCTCTTCATAGGTTGCACGGCATGCATCCAAAGCCGCCCAGCCCATCTGCAGTGTGCCTCTGCTCTTTGTGCACTGATATCTCCAGCCAAGGATCAGAAATATTTGAAAGAAAAAGACACCCCTGTTCTGAACATGTGCAGGCATTCTTTTCTTGTCATATTTTTCTAAACAATAGAGTATAACAACAATTCATATCACCTTTACATGGTATTGATTGTTATACATAGCTAGGGATGATTTGCCTTATATAGGGACTGGAACCCCATGGACTTTGATATTGGCCACAAGTCCTAGAACCAATACCCCAGGGGCACTGTGGGATGACAGTAATGCCATTTTTTTCCTACCTCAATGGATAATAGAATATCTATATTATGGCAATGTGAATCTTTCATTGAATAACTTCCTTATTAGCAAATAAAACTCTTATTTTTAGGATGTAGTCTACTGTTTATATCGTAATACTATATTGTGTTCAACATCATCTATTGATGGACATTTAAATTGGATAAAAGCTGGAAAAATACTGAGTTAAGAACTTTGTATGTCTTGTAGTTCCTGGGATTGAATATCACTTCATTAATCTTTCCTAAGGTTAAAAATTTCCTGATAGTCTTGTATTAATCATTAAAAAAAAACCTTGATTTTAATTTGTATCTCTAACAAGGTTAGATCATTATCTCTTCATAATATGTATCTTGTGTCTTTAATCCTTTGCCAATCTTTCAGGTGGTACATGTTTCCTGCAAGAAACCATTTTAGTTATTATCCAGTTTTTCAAATTTCCTTCCAGTTTTTGTCCTCTAATCTTTTTTTAACAATTGAGTATGTATTAGTTAACTGGAATATAAATAAATAATTTTATTCAGTATTTTTCAATATCATTGTTAAAGACCACCTTTTAAAATTGTAGAAAAATATATATTTATTTAAGATGAATACATTTTTCTCTCAATACTATTCTTTCACAGTAAATGAACTGTCAACACTCATGGAAGATGGGCGTTCACAAGTTCTTCTAGCAAAAGTTTACAGTAAAATGGAAAGACCTGGAGAAGCAGTCATTTCCTTACAGCAGGTAAGCCTGCCTACCTGTGAGCTAGAAGATGTGAACAGTAAGGGATATATGTGTAACAAGAAAATCTATTTTTCCCAAGAATTACAGAAAATATATCAAACCAAAAATGATTATACAGGCTAAGTAGTATTAATTAATGTGACAAGGAAGCTTGATATTTTAGATTCTGTTCTACAGTTCAGGAAATTTCTTTTAATATTGCTTGAAGTCACATAGCTTGTGTCAGAATTTCAGCTTAAAACTCTCTCTCTGCATGTATTTAGGCTCTAAATTTTTCTTAGTATTTTATGGTTTTCAGAATAGAAGTTAGGCAATAAATTGTTGATCTTTTAGACATTTGTCATTTCAGGCTGGAACAACAGGTATAAACCTACAGGCTATCTCAAGTCTAAGACTCATGGGATATCAGTTTCAATGCTGCTGAATGAAAAGACAGCTATCCTCAGGACATTGCCTTGGGCGTATGTTTAAGAGTTGGTTCTACTTTCTCTCATTTTTACTTTTTTATCCTGCAGACTTACTGCAGAACACATTGGGGCCATAAGACCATCTGGTCTCTGTAAAATGCCTGCTGCCTGGGGCCTGGCTTCTAGAGCAGGACTCTCAACACCGTTGTTAGAGATGGTCCCTACTAATCTCTGCTTTCTCCTTTCACTTCCTGAAGGCCAAATGGGGGTAGCAGGGAATATCTATGTAGATACAGCGATGGAGGTAGGCCTTTCTGCCAAAGGGATATCAACCATTGTTTCAGAATTTGACCAGAGAGAGAGTAGATAAATCCATGAACACAAAAAAATATGCATATAGATTGCTTTTTGTTTTATTTTTTCTTTGTCACTTTTTACAATTAGCAAAGTTCTTCCTTACAATAAATAGTCTATATTCATTTTTCCTTCCAAATAATGTCCTGAATAGTATTTTTCCCAAGAGTAGAACAACTAAGTTCATCTGCCTGATTAAGTTTAATGGCATTGTGTTATTTTGTAGAGTATCCCTGAAAGGTTAGACTAATTCATATGCCACCAACAATATATGAATATATCCTTGTCACCTGTGACCTGCCCATATTTGATTTTATTATTGTTATGATTACTATTTTATTAATTTAATAAATATTTTAAACTTTCAATTATTAATAGCATCTAGATGTAGATTTAATTTTAGTGAGATAATAATGCATATCTTTATAACAAGGGGAAAGACATCCGTATGTGGTGGGGCATATCTGTAATCTCAGCCCTCCAGAGGCTAAGGCAGGAGAGTTTCCAGTTCGAGGTCAGCCTGATCTTCAAGGTCAAACCTTGAAATTAATTAATTAATCAATTAATTTAAAAACTAGAAAATGTTTTAATAACTTCAGAGTACTTTCATTGGAAAGATCCTGGGTGATTCCCAAACAAGTGCAGGTCTGAGCTCTTAATGAAACCTTTTCTTTAGATTCTTCATTGCTAGATCAAGGGCTAGTAATGCTTCCATATATCTTCTATAAAATTATACAGTGTGGAACCTATTGAAAGTTGTTTGGTTTCCATATTCTTTTTTAATTCCTTATTATTGCTATTTGTTTTCTAGGCTCGAGAATTGCAAACACGAATACTGAAACGTGTTCAGATGGAACAGCCAGATGCAGTTCCTGCCCAGAAACATTTAGCAGCGGAAATTTGTGCAGAGATTGCAAAGCATTCTGTTGCTCAGCGAGACTATGAAAACGCAATTAAGTTCTACAAAGAGGCTCTGATTCATTGTGAAACAGATAATAAAGTTAGTACCTGCATCTGATTTCAAGCACCTTTTTATTTCAGATGTTATTGATTTCAGTATTATGTCAGGAAAATTTCAATGTACTTATACGATGCCTTAAGTTTTGAAACCATGGTAGTGTAAGTAATGTAAACCAAGCCCCAAAACTCCTACTTTTGTAACAAGTAAAATGGGTATTTTAGTTATGATTTTACAAGTTTTCTCAGTCACATAATAAATATTTGCATCTGGGTTGTTTAATTCCATTAATTAGACAGCTATCATACCCTTCTGTGTTTCATGTTATTTAAGTACTGAAGATATCAAAGTGTTCACATTGAGCCATGACCTCCAGTGGCCCAGTGTGGTAATTGATAGAAATAAATGTGTTTAGTAAGGCATAAGCACACAAGTCCCTTTCAGTGGTGGCTAAATGAGTAGAAATCCCTTTTCATTCTGAAGTATCCCTTTGAGAGTGTTTGTCTGACATTTCATTTATAAAGGAGCAGACAGATTTCAAGAGGTAGAAAGGACTGGACTCAGTCCTGTCTTAAAGAACTTGAGCTTCTTTTTCTATTTCTCTTTTTTTTTTTTTAAGAAGAGAAAATAGAGCTAGGGCATGCTATGGTTTCCTGTCTGTCTTCTTTGGCATCAGCTGAACTTTAATCTCATCTGAATTTTTTTTTTTTATTCTGGAGCCAGCTTCTGACTCTTCTTGCCTCTTGCTCTGTAGATAATGTTGGAACTGGCCCGACTGTATCTGGCTCAAGATGACCCTGAAGCCTCCATGCGGCATTGTTCTCAGCTCCTCCAGAATGACCAAGATAATGAACCTGCCACCATGGTCAGTCTGAGAGACCCATGTGCTGGGAAGGACCTTGGGTTTATTTTCTAGGTAGAAGTTTCTGTGTATGCCCTATAGAACTCATATTGATGGTGAGGAATGGTCCCACTGATTTTGGAAGAAATAGCATATTTCATTGTCCTTTGTTTTGCCCAAATCAGTTTTGCAAAAACAAAGGACAAGAATCATTAGCACTCAACTTCACCTAAAGAATGACAACAAACTGGGCTCATTCTTTTACTCACCCTTTGGATCAAGTTCATGTTTCTTTATGCCTAAAGGGTGGCGTGGTCAAATAGAGTTCATATAGTAAAACAGTAATTTTCTAAAGACATTTGAGTACTTACCTAGATATGCTGAATTGATTTAAGTAATTCAGTGCAAAAAAATGCGTATCATTCTAATCTGGCTATTTTAAATAGAGCTTTGCTTTTCTCAGCATTTACTCAGATGCTTGGATGACAATGTGTAAGATTCATATTTCTAAATGTGGGTATTGTTTTTCTACTTTTTTTTCTTCTCCCCTAAGACAAGGTCTCACTACATAGCCCATGCTGAGCACATGAACCTCCTACCTTTGACTCCTAAGTGCTGAGATTATAGGTATATGTCACTATCCCAGGCCAAAAGTTATTATTATAACTATATAGAAATATAAATAATCCATTTAAGACACATGAAAAATCTCAGTAGGTCTTCCTTGTTTTATATTCCTCTCACATATTTAAGACAAGTTTTGTTTTGTTTTGTGTTTAAACTTCTTATTGTCATTAAAGGCAAGCCATGTTTCCTATCTTAAGACATAAAATACTAAATTCCCTTCAAATTGTTGTTTGGCTTTTGGCAGTTTAGAGTTTGAACTCAGGACCTCACACCAGCTAAGCTCCAGCAATATAACTGATCCTTGCCTCTGGCTCTTCAAATTGTTAAACTTTTTAAAACCTATACTTAAAACATTTTTTGCTAAATATCCAGTTTTATGAACAGAACAATTTTAGTTACATCTTTGATTTGCCTTTCTAAATCTTTGCTCCTCATATTTTTATAGGTATGTTTATAGTGCTAAATCCTGATTAGAAGCCTATGCTTTGTATAAATATGCAACAGTATTTTTAGAACCCAGTTTATCTTTGTAGATGATGGCTGATCTCATGTTCAGAAAACAGGACTATGAACAAGCAGTGTTTCATTTACAACAGCTTTTAGAACGCAAACCAGGTAAATACTCACTGACCACATGTGTTTTTGAAATGTATTCAGTTCCTTTTATCCTCTTTTTTAACTGATAACTTATTGGGAAAACAGCAGCCCTTCTGGATCTGACTCTGCTAAGTCCACATATGGACTTGAGTAGCTCAAATAGCCCAAAGAAAAATGCAGTGCTTTGTTTTAAATTGTGACCATAAACCTCAGATTAGCTGCCTGTTAATCCTATGGTATTTCTGTAGTTTACTCACTCCAGTTGCTCTTCACACTTCCTCCTATCTCCTCAAACCTCAAGCACCCCTTCCATCTTCCTTACCCTCATCTGTAAGCCTCTTCACCTACAGCACTGAGATAATATAAACAACTAGAGATGAATTTCATTCCTTGACACCAAATCTACTCCCTTCCGAACCCTGACTCCGTGTCCTTCCCAGGTCTGATTCCGTTTGCCACTGGCTTTTCCTTGTGTCCATTGGATTCCACCCTTTACCTACCAAGAGGTTTTTTGTTTTTTGTTTTTTTTTTCCTGAAATCCCCTGCATTGTTTCGTTTAGTTGCCCTAATCAGCACAAAATCACTGCCATGTCAGCTCAGGGCTTTACATTAATCAATGTTCTCTCCACTCAACTTTGCCTTGTTTGCCCTTGTTTCCTCCAGGTCATTGTTTTCTGTCTTTTCTCTCCTGGATTCTAGATTCTAGTTTGTTTTTTTCTCCTTTTCTGAATTGACATTTAAAGACAATATAAGCCCAGGAGATGGGAACAAAAGACTTTCCTTTGTAAAAAATAAAAATAAAAAATAAAGGTAATATACATAATGCTTCATTTATCCCTAAGCTATTCCCATTACACAGCATTTAAACAGCAGTCCACTTCCCTTCTGAATATTCTTAAGTTGTTCTTGGCAATATTTTTATAGTTTTAAAAGGGTATTAAGTTGGTCTATGTCACTAGTGTATTACTAAGAGAGAATTAGAAAGAATTGGGAGAAAGCTTCATTGTACAGATGTCTGCCAGAAAATGGTATCTACTCTTTCGGGAATTGTGGTTCCTAAGACACTCCTTTGTTTTTATTTATAGTTATTTATTTCTATTTCTATTTGAAGTAAATTATGCATTAATAAAGTAGGATTGTAGCTGTTAGAGCAAGATTCACAAAACACTGTCCATATCTGAGGTATTATTTGTTTCTAGATAATTATATGACTTTATCTCGTTTGATTGATCTCCTAAGAAGATGTGGTAAACTTCATGATGTTCCAAGATTTTTTTCAATGGCTGAGAAATTTAACTCCAGAGCAAAACTGGAGCCAGGATTTCAGTACTGTAATGGACTACATCTTTGGTAAATCTATTGGCAAATAAATCTTACATGATAGGTGTTTATTTCTCTCATTGTAGATTATGTAAAATTTATGTTTCTTGTAAAAAAAAGTCTACATTTTAAAATATTTTACTACTTTTACCTACCAAGCATTTCATAAAATAGCTCTAAAAATTTCATCCAGCAATTAGCATAATTTTTTCTAAATATTTCACAAGGTATACTGGAGAACCAAATGATGCCCTTCGACATTTTAATAAAGCTCGGAAAGATAGTGACTGGGGCCAAAATGCCATCTACAATATGATAGAAATCTGTTTGAATCCAGACAATGAAACTATTGGAGGTGAAGTATTTGAAAACCTAGATGGAGACCTGGGGTGAGTAATGTTTATACATTATCTTTGACACATTTCTTTTTAAATCCTGGGGGATAAGAAACACTAATTCAAAAGAGAACTAAATTGTAGACAAGAAGGAATGGAAAGTCAGTTGAATAAATCATCCTGCAAATGACTAAGATAGCGATTTTCTGAAACAGGCAAGAAATGCTTTTTTGGGGGAAGGGGAGGGGTGGTGGTTCCCTAAATGAGAATAAACTTGTTATGAAGATAAACAGTTACAAAAATTGTCCACACCCAAAATAGTAATAGCTTAAAAAATGATTTTATGTCAAGCCCTGTTTTGTTCAGTTAGTTAGTATGTCATTTTATTAAAATTTCTTGATTGATTGATAATAATATCCTCTTTCATTAACAGACATACATGAGTACACACAGTGGATGTTGACATATACACATTTTTCAATTGGAAAACTTACCAAGTATAGTAATAGCTAATCCTTATTGATAAAATTGTTTTTCTAATGATATCAGAGCAAAGTAAATATTGGCAATAAATGAGAAATTAATATTTTATTGGTTATAGTAACAGAAATAGAAGAAACAGTTATAATTATGTTGATCTCAGCATTTTTCTTATCAAGGAATCCATAGACAATGATAATGTTTGTATAATTGCTGCCTTCTATTATTATGAAAATAGTGTGAGTAATACAATCCAGGAATTATTGGTCAAATACCTCAAGCACTCCAGACCTAGGTGGCATATCTAGACCCAGTCCTAACCCTAGAATGAGTCGGGACCAAGGCTTCTTTTTTTCTTCTCCTTCTTTTTTGTTGATGTTTTTGTTTTTGTTTTCATTTCCTTTTGTCTTGTTTGTTCATTTGGGAGGATAAGAAAGGGCACGGAAGTGTGGGACAAAGGGTGAACAAATGCAGCAGAGCTCCTCACTAGACACAATGTTGAAAATGAACTATACAGCTTATGGAGGGGATTGAGAGGGAAAAACTTGGAGAGACTGAAGTAAGGGGTGACATTGCTCAAAAAGAAATGTACTCTTTATCTGACTTAGGTAACTGTAACCCCTCTGCACATCACCTTTTCAATCCCTATTTATATTCGCATATAATATCTCACTCCCTACAACGGTATAAAAAAAAAAAGAAAGAAGCTCAGTCATCTTGTCTCATATGGTGGCTGATGAGTATGAAGCAATATTAGGATTGAATACTACCTATTCTCAACTGTTTTTTTTATGATGAAGTACATCTAGAAATGGTTATATTTCCATTAGGCTGTATTTATTGCTTCTGTCTCCTAAAAATTGGGGTGGTCTTGATGGAGGTGCATAAGGATGTAGAGGGAGCATAAAAGCAGTTTCTGCCTTCAGAAGCAAGCAGTTTACTTAGGATGAAAGATAATACCTGAAACCATTTCATCTCAAACACAACAGGCATGGATAAACGTGTGTCTTAAGTACTATAGAAATCCAGGCAGAAGAGGGGAAATGCATGGAGGAGTGGCAGGAAATTAAGTAGTCTGATTAGACTGAGGTGACAATGTCAAGATTTGGATTATGGAGTCCATTAGATTTTGAAAGTAGGAAAATGACCTTTTGTGTTGGCTCTTTTAGGAAGGTTTACATAGCATTCTGTAATTCTTCTAGGCTATACTTTCAAATAAAAAAAATAACGAACCTAGAATTTAGAACCTGGTGTCAATGGTTTATACCTATAATCCTAGCTCCTTTGGAGACTGAGATCTGGTGATTACAGTTCAAAGCCAATCCAGGCAAGAATGTCCACGGGACCCTAATCTCTACTTAACCACCAAATCTGGAAGTGGCTTAAGTGGCAGAGCACTAGTCTTGAACAAAAGAGCTCAGGGACTGTGCCCTGAGTTCAAGTCTCAGGACCAGCATAAAAGAAAACAACAACAACTAGAATTTAGAAGAGAACTAAGTTTTGGAATTAAAGACTAGGAAGATATCTGCACAGGTATCTCCATAAACAGTCTCTTTGTAAGTGTATAGTGAAAGAAATGTGAGAACTAAAAGCATAAGAGATTTGGAGGAAGGAGATCAGGAATAATCTGTGTGAGAGAAGAGAACCAAAGCTGAGCAGAATTAGAGAAGCCAAAGGGAGGAACTGTGGAGAAGTGTGGAATACTGTAGGTAAGGTAAAGAGCCTAAGGCCTAAGAAAGACAAAACACTTGTGAGATAAGACGCTTGTTATCGAGTGTTGGTTTTCCTCACATAGAAAATGCATTTAACATAGATTCAATTAAACCTTTCTCTTATCCCTTTTCCCTTTTACTTTCCAAGTTTATAACACTATTTGATCATTGTATGGCTCTGCTTTTTCTTTACTTCTTGCTGGAATGAACTAAGTTACCACATTATAGATACTAATTTTTTTTAAATTATAGAGTGAATTATGACTTAGTACTGTTTTACCAAGGTTATATTAACTTTGTTTAAAAATAACCATGCATTACTCTGTATTACAAGAGAATGAGTGACATTCTTCACAAAGAGTTACCTTTAAATACATGATAGAGAAACCAGCATACACTGAAGGTCTGATTCTAATCTTAAATTTTGTGTCATAAAAATCATCATCATGATTTATTTTTAATGTGTACAGTAATTCAACAGAGAAGCAAGAGTCTGTGCAATTAGCAGTGAGGACAGCAGAGAAACTCCTTAAAGAACTAAAACCTCACACGGCTCAGGGTCATGTCCAGCTTCGCATAATGGAAAACTATTGTCTAATGGCCACCAAACAGAAGGCAAATGTTGAACAAGCATTGAATGCCTTTACTGAGATAGCAACCGTGGAGGTTAGTAGTTTTTTTTTTCAACTGTATGTTGTCTTTTCCTGTTAGTATAGAAATAGCATTTTAATTTGTTGTTTCTTTTCTGGAGAATGACTAAACTGACAACTAGTAACTACCTCAGCAATGAAGGACGTTCTCTAGCATCACTGAAATCACCTTTTGCGTTCTTTGGGGTTTTTTTACTTGTTTTGCCAGCCTTGGTTAGGAGAGTTCATGAAACTATATCTGCAAAGTAATCCGCAAAAAGAAACAATGGGATTGAAAGGGAAGCTCAAGTGGCATATAGCAACAACCTGGCAAGAGAGTAAAGTGAGTGCAAAACTCACACAGCTAACCCACTCAAAACCCGCCAGGTGTGATGGGCATCGCAGGTGTATGGGAAATATACATAGGATCACTGTCCAAGCCAGCCCAGACAAAAAATGAGAACCTATCCTAAAAATAAACAGAGCAAGAAAAAAAAGCCTGGGGGCTTGGCTCAAGATAGACTATCCTCCAAGCATGTGCAAAAAAAAAAAAAAGAATATTGCTTTCTACAGATTCCATCAGAAACCTGAAACGTCTATATCAAACACCCTATTTTAAGACATGAATTTATACCATGAAATTTCCAAAATATTAGTGATGACATTTTGTCAAAGTTCACTCGTAGAGAGGGATTTTGATTTTAATAAAGGAAAAGAGGAAAAAGAGAAACGTAAATTAATATGCCTAAGGACTGTCACTTGCAGGTAAATCTTGGTCCTGCTAGATGAAAGAACTAAAAAGACAAAATATTAAATTTGAAATAAACTCTGCTCAATAACACTTATTCTAAAATGTTTTATTTCCTTTCGTTCCTCTACAACCCCTATGTCCCCCATCAACCTCGCTGAAAAATGAGTCCCACTGATGGTTAAAATTGTGTGATTATGGAATCAGCAGACTTACTGAATTATTATATCAACCACATGACAAAAGAGCACCTTTTATGTAGCATATGCGGTTTGTGTGTTTTTCTTCTAATCAGAGGACTATTTTATTTTGCCTCTTGTGGTCTAACTCTTTGCTTTCTTTCAGAAAGATCATATCCCAGCCCTCTTAGGAATGGCCACTGCTTACATGATCTTGAAGCAGACTCCACGAGCTAGAAATCAGCTGAAGAGAATTTCAAAAATGATTTGGAATCCTATTGATGCTGAGGAGTTTGAGAAGAGCTGGCTACTCCTTGCCGATATTTATATTCAGTCAGCAAAGTACGACATGGCAGAAGAACTACTAAAACGATGCCTACGTCATAACAGAGTAGGTGATCAGAGAGGAAAAAATAATTGCTAGCCTGTTTTATAACGTGTAGGTCCATTTCCTCTGACTATTAATGTTTATTCTTGCCACAGTCAGGAACTACAGATTAATATAAGAAGCCATTTGCCCTTGAAAGGAAAGGAAAGGAAAAAAAATGATTTACACAGTTCAAGGGTTCAGCTGTGGTGATGCCCTACTTAGAGAAAGTGTTTTTGGAATGCCATGCACTTGTCTGTGATTACCCAGTTCATCTCAGAACTAATGAAAATTACAGAACATTAATTGTGGATGTCTGTCCCTCCCATTAGAAGCCACTCTTGATGAATATACTACAGCTGTGCATCGTTTCCATGATATTAGAATCTTACGTGCATAATATATTTTGTGAGGGAAAGTCTTGTAGCTTTTAATTCAATTTAATATAAAATCCTTATCTTTAAGCCTGAAAATTGAAACTCTTTTAAGTCCATAGAATCAATGTAAAGCATTTTGCTAGCAACTTTGTTTTGTTGGTTGGTAGTCCTGGGATTTCAACTCAAGGCTTGTTGCTTTCGAGGCAGGAGCTGTAACCTTGAGCCACACTACCAATAAGAATAGGTTCTTGCTTTTTTCCCATCTGGTTTACACCATTAGCCTCCTACTTGTACTTAACCTATAGTGAGAATGACAAGTACACATAACCACACTCAGCTTTTTATTGATTGAAATAGGGTCTCATGAACTATTTTTGTCCAAGCTAGCCTGTCACTGGGATCTTTCTGATCTCAGCCCCCTACTGAAAGCTAGCTTTATAGGCATGAGCCATAACACCTGTCTTAACGATTTATTGGAAAATGTGTATCTCATGACAATATGACAGTATTTTTGAAGCTAAGATTTGTTATTTTCTTTTTTTTTTTTTTGTCGGTCGTGGGGCCTGAACTATGGGCCTGGGTGCTGTCCCTCAGCTCTTCAGCTCAAGGCTAGTGCTCTACCACTTGAGTCACAGCACCACTTCCGGCTTTTTCTGCTTATGTCGTGCTGAGGAATTGAACCCAGGGTCTCATGCATGCAAGGCAAGCGCTCTACCACTGAGCCACCTTCCCAGCCCTAAGTTTTGTTATTTTCTGAAAAATAAACAATAATTATACTTGCCTTAGAAACTTGGAGACATTTATCATCACAGATTCATACCAATTCAAAATCTAAATCTCAGTATATCTATTCTCTTTGAGCAAATGAGATCATGAAATGGATCATTTGTTTTCTAAAGAGGAGATACAATTATCTGCTACTATTAAGATACTTCTTAGGAACTTAAAAACCTTACTTTCATCCATTTAAGTATGTATAGGCTGTTCTCATGATCTGTTACATTTAGTTAAGTTGGCCTTGTAAACAGAGAATACTTATAAGTTTTGAACTTTTAAACTATGAGTTGTTGAACCTTAAATACCTGGTCTTTCATTATGCAATTTGGGTATAGTTAAGGCTTGTAATGCAGCAGAAATCTGTGTGCTAGAACACGGATAGCAGTTCCTGGCCTGATTGAATGATGGCTACATTAGACACTTTGTTTGGTCCTGCAAATTGAGCAAGTCCATGGTGAAAGTGTAAAATTGAGAAACTAAAGCTGAGGAATTTTGGATTATGTCAATTAAAAGTGGAAAGCCTCCAGTTTGGGGGCAGGATGATACCACTAGAACACCTCACCATACCAGCTGACAAAGAAGCAATCAAATGTGATCAATCATGTCAGGGACTCAGAAGCCAACTTCAAGATGCTCAAGGAGCCAGTTAGGATACTGCAAGGACCAATAGGAATGATTCCTGGAATAGGTTGAAATCTCACCATTATCCCTCAAACTGGTAGATAAAGGATTAAGCATTTGTCCTGTCTCTTCTGTACAAACTAGACTATTGGTTAACCAAATAGTAGATAGGGAGACGGTTCTCATTATAGACATTTTCCTACTAATGAAAAATGATAGACTATCACCACTTTCTATTGCTGAAGAATATGTGAGTGTACATAACAAGTAGGAGGTTCAGGAATTCTGTGCTTCCTGGTCAGGGCCAGGGCTACGATGAGAAAAGAGAGCTACTCATAAACAAGTAATAATGTAATGGAATTTCTTTTTAAATCAAAAGAATTTAAAATTTTAAATATCAAAATGTTAAATAGACAGCATCTGACAATGCTCCGCTGAGTAGTAGGAAAGCCTGAGTCATTCTGTTTCTATGTTCATTTATACTATTAGTGGTTTGTGTGTTTGTTTTTGTTTTAGTAGCTTGGGAGGGTGAAATGGTTTGGAGGGGTGGAGAGAGTATGAGGGTGTTCTAGAACAATTTCTAACATCAGCATGGGTGTTCATTCTAATGTGATGAGCCTGGGTTTCCATGGCAGGATGGGCTCACACAAGTTTCAGTTTAATTATTTATGATACTGGGGCTTGAAGTCAAGGCCTTGTGCTTACTAGGCAAGTGTTTTCCTGCTTGAGCAACACCTCAGCTTCAGAATGGCTGATAGTTTTAACACAAATGTTGACCAAAAAAAATTCTTCTTTTAAGTAAGAGAAGTAAAACAATAAAACCATACCTCTAGATCTAATTATAATTTTCAGGAAAATTAGTAACAGAGGAATATATTATATAAACATATCTAAACCTGAGTTGAGAGAAACCCTAGGATGAATATTCTTGTTTATACTTAATGCTGAAAATAGAAGAGATGAGACCCAATCAGTGTGAGCCTTATTTGAATCCTTAATTCAACAAACTACTATATATATATATATATATATATATATATAATTTGAAATATGAATAGTGATTGGATATGTGACGATTAAAGAATTGTGAAACTTTACATGTTATGAGCTGTGGTTATGTCAAAGAAGTTCTCATAGAGAAGTACACTAACATATGAAGTGACACTGTATAAGGATTATTTTCTGATAACATGTGCACATGCACACACACATATTACATATACCTTCATGTGTATTTTAATTCTGTAAAACAAAATCCTGCTAATCCTGATTCTGACAGATTTGGAATGATGACTTAGCATCAACATCCCCTGGTTACATTTTATAATTTGGTCTCATACTCAAGGTTGAAGCCATCATTTTAGGTTACTTTAAAATGGATTCATGTGATGATGGATCTCTGTACTCATACACAACCCTTATTTTTAAGTAGGTTTAAGAAAGGGAGTTCAATTCAACACATCAATTTATGTGTACATTGCATCTAGTCAGTGTCACTCCTTCCATCATTTTCCTCATCTATTCTAACCACACCCATCCCTCCAAGTTACATTATTATGCCCCTTCCCTTCATTTATTTGCCCCCCTCTCCTCTTAAGCTCCCTTCTGCTAAACATGTTTCAGCTTCCTGATAATCATTTTATTAAACCTTTCAATTCTTAATTGTGTCAATATCAACCTATTGATACACCCTCCGTTTTCCTACAGTCTTGCTGCAAAGCTTATGAATATATGGGCTACATTATGGAGAAAGAGCAAGCATACTCAGATGCTGCCTTCAACTATGAGATGGCATGGAAACACAGCAACCAGACAAACCCATCAGTAGGTGAGTTTAGCAAATTATGCACAAAGTTTTCACAAAGGTGTGTTTTATGTACAAGTTTTCATTGAAATGTGATTTCTCACAGTATAAAATATCAGGAACTAGTTTTTGTCTAAGAATATATTTTTGTGCTTATAATAAATTATTACTTACAGAATTACAATTTCTAATTTTCTAAAGTCCTAACTTGTCCAAACTTGCCCATAACCATCTAAGAGGACTTCTAGCCTAATAATTTTGCTCTTTTTTTTCACCCTCTGCTATTTTGAAAATGGTTGTTACGACAAAAAGAAAGTGTCCCATCATCAAATAAATTAGGCCAACGAATTAGATTAAGTCACCCAAGTTTCCTTACTCTAGACCTTCAGAAGCCTTGAACACTTTTGTACATTGTTATAGATAGCAGACAAGGGCCATATTTCCTATCATTACTTGACCACAGGACAAGGATTTTCTCCTGAGTGTCTAGAAACATCATCTACTTCCTGTGGTTTGTAGACTATTAGTTTGAGGAACGCTAGTGTCTACAGTATTCCTTATACCTTGGCAGCATCTGGAATGTACTAAGTGACCTAGCCTCACTCTTCACTGTGGGCAAGCTCATCCCATGCCTTCCTTTTTGTTTATGATGAGCTGAAATATATTTCATTGAAATGGTCCAGCTCTGCTTTCTGGAACACAGAGGCCTTTCCTCCTTGCCGATGAGGAGCCTTTAATTGTAAACTTTAACTGTCTATTCTAAGGATAGTTCCCAGCTTGGATTAGTTTTTGTCTCATCCTTCAGATTCCATTCTGGGTTCAAGTTCCTTATTGTAACTCTCCTGGCCTTGGTCTTGACTTAAGTCTTCCAGGAAGTATGTTTCGGTTTTGAAATTGCTCAGTCATGTAGTTATTTAAATAATGTACTTCCTCTCCTAATAGAATGAGAATCTCATAACTACAGCAATCAATTTGCCTAATATATTAAGTTCTGAATAGATCCATGTTATATAAATGAAGAATTGTAATATTCACTGCCCTGCTCTGTTTTCTTTTAACACTAAAATAGTAGTTGCTACTTCGTAATAAGTGATAGAGACCAAAGTTTTGGAATGGCAGGCTCTGTGGTCCTTTTCTCTTGCTCTGTTTTCTTATTTTGCTGCTTTTCTGTTTCATTCCACCTTCTGTCATCACAACATTTTTTTCTGTAGTAGTCATCAGCCTCCACTAAAGTTTCTCCAGTGAGTTAGCCAGCAAAAAAGAAGGAAAAACAGTAATTACTACCCATGTACTCACATACCATTATGATTCTGTTTGTTTTAACAGGTTACAAATTGGCATTTAATTACTTAAAAGCAAAAAGATATGTGGATTCAATTGATATATGTCACCAGGTAAACACTTAAATTAGATTAATGGGGAGGCTGGTTGAGGGAGGCAGACTAGTACAAGGTTTTGAACTTCTGCTTGGGCCTCATGCTTGTTAGGATTAAATTTAGATTTCTTTAAATTTTTGAGAAACACAATTTCCTACTTTCAATTAAGGTCTCAAGATACACCTGAATAGAAGTGAAAGATGGAGAATTTTGGCTAAATGACTTACTAAATATAAATATGTTCTGAAGAGTTAATCAGTGTTGTGCCTAAATCACACAGGTTTTGAGTTGGGGCTTAAACAGTAATATGTATGTTTGTCCATGTAAAGACTGAGGCTAGTGGAAGAAACAATCTATTTTTTTTCTTTTTTCACCCCACATGCATTATCATAAATGATACATTTGGTGATACATTTGACAATACATTTTACAATTCCATATGTACATACAGTGTACCTGGATGAGACTCACCCCTCCATCACTCTCCCTTACCTCCTCCGACCTTCCTAGACCAGTATCAACAGGCTTAATTGTTCCATTTTTACACATGTGCCTAAAGAGAAGACTAGTTAAGTGAGAGTATATTTAAAGATGATTTAGATTCTTCAAGTCATTGTTGTAACTATAGATCCTTGACCATTTTTGTCCAAATCTGTTAAGAGAATTCAGAGATTCACAAACGAGGTGAAGGGTAGTCTGCCACTTAGAAGTAACTCCATTACATTTCTTTAATTTTCTACTATATGTTATTCTTCTGAATTGATGAATATTTAAATTTCTCTTTTAGGATCTGCAAAGTTCCTTTTGATATTACCCATATGATGTTCTAAACCTTTTAGAAAAGCTCCTTAGAAAATATTTTTCACGTCCCTTTTGCCTGATAACTATGCATCACTTCATTATAGAAAATGCTAGGCCTCAGTGATCAGCACTGATTGCTGGGTCTCTTTGTATCACAAAGTTTCCCATTAAGGTTAAGGTTGTACATTAATTTAAGGCTATACAGTAGAATCACTTATGGAGTAATTTTTAAAAAATGAGTCTCTCCAGTCTTGAATGTAAGAGGCCTAAAAATGACTCTAGGTAAATCCATTGTGTGCTTCTGGTTAAAACTCACTTTCCAGCTAGGTGCTGATGATTCACACCTATAATACTAGCTACTCAGGGGACTTTGTAGTTTAAAACCAGCCAGGGCAAGAAAGCCCATGAAACTTTCCAGTTAACTATTAAAAGTCCAAAAGTGGAGCTGTCACTCAAGTGGTAGCATGCTAGCTAGTCTTGAGGGGGAAAAAAAAAGAACTAGAAGAAAAAGAAAAGTCACTTACCACTAAATGTCACAGCTAAATAGTTTATCATTGTTTTCTGCACCTCATCTATTAAGGAACCAGTTTTATTATTCTGTCTCCACATGTAGCATTTTTGCTCTACTATTCTCATCTATTCATATATTAATATAAGTGAGGGATCATGTTAGAGATAAGCTGCCACCTCTGGACATCATTGCAACTGTAACATGGGTGCAATGAAATCCAAGTCACTGTACTCATTTGTAGTAAAGCTTTGTAGCTTCCACTTAGTAGTTCATAAAAGTTAATTACAACTTCTTGGGATTTTTTTTTTTTGCAGGTTCTTAAAGCACATCCAGCGTATCCAAAAATCAGAAAAGAAATCCTTGATAAAGCACGCTCATCTTTAAGGCCTTGAAACAGTGATTTTTAACTTCAGTAAGCAGGAAAAAAAAAGATGTATCTTGGGTTCTGGTACAAAACAAGTGTGAGCTAACGCTTTGTCACTGAAGCCTACCTTCCGTCCTCCAGCAGAGGCTGCTGCTGTGTATAACAAGAAGTGCTGTGTCAAATGGTGCTTAATAGAAAAGCTGAAGAAAGCTAGTCTGTTTCACTCTTTGGATTAGGTACAGATCTGTTATGTCTGTGGTAAAAGTATTACTCATTTTTATAAAGAATATTTCTGTTAATTTCTAGATAGTATATATTTTCATAGGGGGTATTAGTTATTTTAGCAAGCATATTATAAATGCATTTATCTGTTTAATTTTTATTCCATAGTTCAAAGGCTTAAAAATAAATCTGGTGGATAATTTGTGAAAATATGTATTTTAAATATTTGTATTAATAAAAGTTTAAATTAAATATGTTGTTTACCTGTTTCATGAAACTCAAAAGACACATCAGGTTTTGCAAAATTAAATTAGAGTGCTATACTGTCTTCGGGATCAAAGTATAACATTGAAGAAAAATGAGACTTCCTCAGAGAACCCTATACTGGAGAAATACAGTGTTCCCTTCACTTTGTTGAGCTCATATTTCCTCTTGTCAATGCCTGCATGATCCTAAGAAATCATCATTATCTGCAGTCACTTTAAATGGGCAAAGCCCTAGAACAATCCTTAACCTTAGCCAGAAGGAAGACAAGATCTTGTGTCATTTCAGACACTGTCATTCGGTGGAGAAGGGTGAAAGTGCTTTCGCTTATCTGGCCTCACAAAGCACACTTGCCCAGCTGTGCCTACCAGCACTCTGCCAGAGTGTGCCTCACCCTTCTATACAAAATTCACCCTCTTCTTAACATAATCTTTACCATTATGGTTCACTTCCTGTTTCCATTTTGTTTCAGTTCTTTAGAAATCCAATAAACAATCAAATTTATTTTCATTTGCAGTGAACACAGAAATTTAAAAATAATATGCAGTTTGTCTTTAAGTGTCTTGTGTTTGGTTCTTTGATTATTGGTAGTAGTAAGATTCAAACTGGGAACTTTGCACTTAGCTAGGCAGGTACTCTACCACTTGAACCATTCCCCCAGACCTTTTTTGTTTTTATTACTTTTTTGACATGGATGTCTCCTACCACAATCCTCCTATATATCTGGCTTCACATGAACCACTGTTTGGTTTAGTTTGAGATGAGATGTCACTAACTTTCTGCCTGACTTGGTTTTGAACTTAGGCCTTCCAGTCCCTTTGCAAGTAGCTGAGTCATGAGCCACTGTACTTGGCCTGTTATTTAAATGACATTCATCTGTTTCACTTCTCAACTTTTTCAGTGTCTTAATTCTGGTTATGTGCTATAAAATTTTAACCATTCCTCTTTCCCACCTCCCTTTTTTTTCGGGGGGGGGTCCGGTCATGGGGCTTGAACTCTAGGCCTGGGCACTGTCCCTCAGCTGTTCAACTCAAGGCTAGTACTCTACCACTTGAGCCACAGCACCACTTCTTGCTTTATTTTTCTGCTTATGTGGTGCTGAGGAACTGAACCAGGGCCTCAAGCATGCAAGGCAAGTGCTCTACCACTGAGCCACCTTCCCAGCCCCCCTACCTCTTATTTATGGCATTTCATGAAAGTAATAATAACATTTATGAAACCTACCTTGATGAAGATCATTTGATCTTCATAGCCCTGGAATATAGGTAAGTCCCTCTTCTAACTATTTGAAACTGAAAACTTAACTTCTTTTTTGCTAAGTCAGAAAGAATGAACCCTATAGCCTGAATGGACATTGTTTTTGTGGTGCTGAGGGTTGAACTCTGGCCCCTGTGAATGTGAGGCAAGCTCTCAGCCACTGAACCACACCCACAGCCCCAGAGTTAACATAGGTAAGAACTGAAGTGTGTGCCTCCCACAGGGACATCCTTGTCCCTAATGTGACTGGTGGAGCCTTTACGAAGCAGAGCCACATGAATGAGTTTAGTGCTCTGATGAAAGGAACCCTGAGACTCTCCAATTCTGTTTTCACATGTGAGGATACAAGAAATCAGCTGTCTACAACTCAGAAGACGCCCTCATCAGTACCTGATGTCTGGGATCATGCTCTTAAACTTCCAATCTCCAAAACGGAGAAATTTCTGATGTTGATAAACCAACCAGTATATGATATTATATTATAGCAGTTGAGCTGTACAAATGTCAGAATCATACATATCTGAATGGCTTTAAAGTATTTCCAGTAAACTTGCATCACAAGATGCTGGAATTGTGGGAACTCAGACTGTCAAGTGAGCGTTTTTTTGTTTCTTAAGTCACCCTGTTTTTTTTTATTACCTCCCATTTGTTAGATGTTTCATGTAATACTTGTTCAACATTCCAAAGAAATAGCATTTTCACTTTTCAGATGAGGAAGATTCCAGTTTACTAAAATGACTTTCCCAAGATCCCAAAAAAGTGTCTCAATCTGTATTCCCCCCAAAACCCATGCATATTTGCTATATAAGAATGCCTTCTAAAAGTAGAAGAAAACATGTGCCCAAGAAAAATGTCCTTGTCTAAATTTGGTTAACAGGTGAAACTAAGTGTTCCATCTCAGAGATAGCTAAGCAGTTAAGCAGTTTTTACTCATGTGATAACTATTAGAAGCCTAATTATGAAGCAGTCAAGGTAGCAATCAGAACATGCATCTGAGGTCAGACCAGCCTGCACTTACGATTTGGTGCCACCATTTACACGATGTTTCTTCTTTATCAAATCACATAGTCTGTGCAAGCCCCCAGCCATAAAGAAGCATAAGGGTTGTATGGATCACATGAGAGAACATATATAAAACCTGCAATGAACCTGATGCTCTTAAGCTCTTCGTTGCTACCTCCTCTTATTTATTAATGGTGGAACAAGACTAAGTAATAACTGCAACTGAAAACCCTCAAGGATGAAAAGGACAAGTAAGCTTCCCTGAAGGTCATCCATATATTTTGGATTCAGGATTCTCTTTTATTCCTACTCCCACTTCTCTCTTGCTCTCTTCCTTTCTTCCTACCCCACAGACATGCTAGGCTGAACATACTGCAATATTTTATACAAGCATATTTTTTTTTTGTCATCAGTCTTGGGGCTTGAACTCTGGGCCTGGGCGCTGTCTCTGAGCTCTTCAGCTCAAGGCTAGCACTCTCCCACTTGAGCCGCAGTGCCACTTCTGATTTCCTGATGGTTTATTGGAGATAAGAGTCTCACAAAAAAATAAATAAATAAAAAAATTCAAGTATAAAAAAAAAAGAGTCTCACAGATTTTGCTGCCCGGTCTGGCTTTGAACCGTGATCCTCAGATCTCAACCTCCTGAGTAGCTAGGATTACAGGCATGAGCCACTGGTGCTCAGCTCACCCAAGCATACTTTTACCTACCCTCTCCTGTCTGCAATTCTGTCCCTCATCTCCTCTTTCTTCATATTTCTTCTCTCCACACTTTCCTCTCCAGCTTTTTCTTTATTTCCATCTGCTACCAATGTATGATCCCCTCCAAGATGCCATGCCTACTTTGAGGCTTCTCAGTTTAAAGTAGCCATTCTGTCCCTCCCTCCTGGCACACTTACAAACTATGTTGCAATTTTTGCCTTCTGATGGTATCTTTGTATTCATTTTTATATATTATCGTTAAATAGTTGTGCAAAAAATTTACCATTCAACAGACCAGTTTATGAATACAATGCATCTTGATCAATGTCACCACTTTCAACATTCTGCTTCTTCCTCCCAACCCTACTCTTCTCAATTTTCTTAATTTTGCAGGATATGCATTGAATTTATGACTGCATTCTCCCCCTTCCTCTCTTTCTCAATTTGTCTACTCCTTTCCCACCCAACCCCGCCCCCCACTGCCAACCTTTCAGGTACTAGTTTTCTGGTAATCATTTTGTTGGACAGTCAGACTTTCTAAGAAATTATACCATTTGAATTCTCCTTTGAAAATTCCATATTTTGGTTAATATATTTGAGTATACTTTCGTACAGCAGCCATGTTTACTTGTATAGTTATAAATTAATACTAGCTTCACATATGAGGTAAAACATTTGACATTTGTCACTCTGGCCTGATTTTCCTAATCCATTCGACTACTGAGGGACACCTGGACTATGTCCATACTTTGGCTCTGTGGAATGAACATAATGAACACGGTAGTGCACATACCCTTACTGTATCCTAGCCTGTAATCTTTTGGATAAATTCCCAGGAGTGGTATTGCTAGATCATAGGGTAGTTCTGTGGGGTCTTTCATTTGTCTGTTTTTTTGTGGAACCTTCATATTGCCTTCATACTGGTTGAAAAAATTTACATACTCACCAACATTATATTAGGGCTCCACCCATTGCACACATCTGCACCCATGTCAGTTGTTTGTATTCTTGATGATGGCCATTCTAATTGAGGTAAAATGGAATCTCAGTGTTGTTTTCATTTGCATTTCTTTTATGGCCAGAGGTATTGAGCATTTATTTCTTCATGTGCCTATTGGCCATTTTTACTTCTGAGAATTCTCTATCTGGCTCATTAGCCCATTTCGTTAAATTGGGTTGTTAATTCTTTGAAGGTTTAATTTCTTAAGCTCTTGTATATTCTGGATATTAGGGCACTGTCTAAGATAGCTGGCAAAGAGCTTCTGTGGAGTGTCTATTAAGATCATTAACTATGTCCTTTGCCATGTAGAAGCTACTTAGTTTGATGCAATTCTATCTATCAATTCTTTCTGTAATTGATGAATCCCTGGTTCACTCAGAAAATACCTACCTGTGCTGAGAAGTCTTAGTTTTTATTATTTTTCTTTCTTTACTAAGGATTAGTTTATGTGACATGTCCCAGATCAGAAAAAGCAAAGGTGAAAGCTGGAGCTGAAACCAGTCAGTCCTGATTCCACACTGCTTTCTGCTGTCAGAGGAACTATTACCCAAGACATGTCAGGTGAACCCTTGAGGCTTACATTCAGGATAGAGAGTCAAGGGACAGAATAGACAGGGAAGA